TCTCGTTTGTTTTAAAATGCACTATGGGCAGTTATATTTTATGCATAATCCATAAAATATTATTTTTAATTTAAACATTTTTAATTCATTTCTCTTTTTATAGAAGAAGTTATAAAAATAAGATTTTTCTCTTTATATATATATACACATTAGGTAAAAAAAATAAAAATATTTAATTAATTAATTCCTGCGCTTCTGCTGGAGAGAACTGAATTTAAAAGCAATTATTATAGTAATTTTTTGTTAAAAATGTTTAGAGAAATTACACTGTCTCATGTTAATTGGAATGAAAGTTTAGAGTTGTAAATATCCCAAAGTCTGAGCACATGTATATACATTAACATAAAAGTGAAACAAAAAAAAATATATATATATCTACAGGGTCTCAAAATAAATTAAATTTAAATAATTCTCTTGCGCCATTGCTGCAAGGAATGAAATTTGAATTTAACAAACATTTTCTATTCATAAAAAGCAAATTTAAAGTTAATTAAATTTAAATGAAATTTAATGCAAACAAATAAATGATTAATTATTGCTGTGAACTAATATACAATATCATTTAAATTCTGAGAGCATATGTAAATCAAGTGCAAGTATCAAAATCCATGAATAAATATATAATTCCAAAAATTTATTAATCCTATTATTTACTTATGCATTTTTATAAATTTTTTAGGATTAAATCTATCCTATTATTCACTTATGGATTTTTATAATTTTTTAGGATTAATAAGCTATCCTATTATTCACTTATGCATTTTTATAATTTTTTTAGGATTAATAATCTATCCTATTTTTCACTTAAGCATTTTTATAAATTTTTTAGGATTAATAAATTTTTGGAATTATATATTTACCGTATATACCCGCGTATAAGTCGAGATATTTTGGACAAAAAAAAGACTTCAAAGTGGGGGGGGGGGTCGACTTATACGCGGGGCCATAAAAAATTAAAAGAATCGGAAGTTCAAAAATTTCTTTGTATAATGCAGTTGTTTTCTTCCCGCACTCGAATTGGACGACTTATCAAATAAGTCACTTACTTGAAGTAATTTCATGACTTCAAGTTATGTGACGAACTACAGTGGTGGCCAAAACTGTGGACACTTTTGGAAATTTTTATGTTTTTGCCCCTGAAAAATGCGAATGCCTGCGAAATACCCTCTGAATGATTATAAAATCATTTAAAAAATGTTGTATTAGCAATGAACTAGACGGCACGGAAGATGATACTTTTTTTGAAAGTGAAAATGACGACGAAGGCTGTAGTAGTGATTGTAACAATGCAGAGTTCGAGACTGAAAATATGTATAATGATGAGCCAATGACGACAGAAAAGTTCTATGAAATGTTTAGCGAATCTGACCATGAATCAATCAGACGTTGAAGGATTTTGTTTATTTACCAAGGTATTTTTTATTGTATATTTACTTTTTTTTCTCAGATGATTTTGAATAAATGTAGTACTTAAAATTTTTTTTCGAAGTTTCTCAATCGATTTCGGAAGTGGGGGGTCAACTTATACGCGGGTTTCTTATTTTCTACAAATTTTTTATGTCGAAGTGGGGAGGTCGACTTATACGCGGTATCGAGTTATACACGAGTATATACGGTATTCATGGATTTTGATACTTGCACTTGATTTACATATGCTCTCAGAATTTAAATGATATTGTATATTGTATGTTCGCAGCAATAATTAATCATTTATTTGTTTGCGTTAAATTTCATTTAAATTTAATTAACTTTAAATTTGCTTTTTATGAATAGAAAATGTTTGTTAAATTCAAATTTCATTCCTTGCAGCAATGGCGCAAGAGAATTATTTAAATTTAATTATTTGAGACCCTGTAGATATATATATATTTTTGTTTTCACTTTTATGTTAATGTATATTACATGTGCTCAGACTTTGGGATATTTACAACTCTAAACTTTCATTCCAATTAACATGAGACAGTATAATTTCTCTAAACATTTTTTAACAAAAAATTACTATAATAATTGCTTTTAAATTCAGTTCTCTCCAGCAGAAGCGCAGGAATTAATTAATTAAATATTTTTATTTTCTTTACCTAATGTGTATATATATATAAAGAGAAAAATCTTATTTTTATAACTTCTTCTATAAAAAAACATATGAATTAAAAATGTTTAAATTAAAAATAATATTTTATGGATTATGCATGAAATATAACTGCCTATAGTGCATTTTAAAACAAACGAGATTTCTAATAAATTGTCCAGCTATGACCCTGAAGTCAGCGGTATACAAGCATAGCAAATTTTGTGTAAATATTGTGAACCTTTCTTTACAGTTGCTCTGTATTTTTATCAACTATTTACGTATAAACTATTTTTTAATTCCTTTAACTTTTTTATTTTATTTATTTATTTTTTCACTAACAGTACATTTTACTTTTAATAATATATATATCATTTCATCAATATTTAAGGCTTCTAGAAATGCAAAAAAAAATTTTAATTTACTTCAGCTTCCATGGAATTAGTGATGTTCATAATATGCATTATAACCTTACTTATCTAAAAATTGCTAGCATACTTTACTTTTGCAATTCATAAGCAGAAATAAAAATTTCCAATAACATGGAATTTAGTAAACAAAACTTTTCTGCGTTTTACGTCAGGATCCATATCAAATCCAAAACAAACAATACTTACTTAAGCGGAAAAAATTCAGATGTTCAGCGTCGTAACTCGCGAACAGGGCCGGATTAAGGGTGTCGTAGGCCCTAGGCACTCCAGCAGCGTAGGCCCCGAAATAATAAACATTTTTTAACTGAAATTGACCGCTAATATTAAGTAATAATTTTGTTGTAGATATAAATCCGAAAATGTGATGATGCGGTAAAATAACATTATTTTATTTTGGGATTTTAATGTTTTTATTTTTCATAGAGCCATTTTCAATAGCCATAATTCCAGAATTGAGTTTATTTGCAACAATGCAACTTTTATATCTACCAAATTCCATGCAGAATTCCAGGGTTTTAGTACATGAACATGACAAGATATTAGCCGCCGGGAAAACCTCTCGGACGGGCACATGCGTTTGACACAGTTGGCCACGTTTCCATGCCCCCCTACCAAACGCTTGCGCGCGATCGAGAGGTTTTCCCTGCTGCTAAGGTCTTTTGTTTAGTAGCTCAGTTGTGTAATAAGTTAATATGTAAACACTACGATAGAGCGTGTATGCCTGTGCTTGTATTTAAATCATGCTCAACCCCAAGTCAATCTTTAGTTTAAAAACTGGAAGTTAAATTTATTATAAGTAAGGTAAGTAAAGGAAAGTTGTTTTTTATACTCTACTTATTTCAACCTAGTTTTTGATTCTGGAATATTGCTTCATTCCATTATAAATAATAGAATTTTCATTTTATCACTTCTTATTAGTATAATAGTCCGCCGTAGAATGCAGCACAATGCAAGGAACTTTGAGTAGGCCTACTATGGGGTGGTTTGGCCATACTATTGTAAAAATCTCCAGTAGTAGTCGTAGAAATAGTACAGTCCAAATCATTTTTGGAATAGCTTAATTTTAATCCATACTCGTAAATCCGGGTTTCGTTTTTACAAGTTTAAAATGCATTACTTAACAAATTTAAAATAAATTTTTAGCTTTCTGATAGCATAATAAAAGCGACGGGCGCAAACTAAAATGTATATTTAAAGGTGACGAGAAGAAGGAGAAAACAAGTTTAAATTTTAGTTTGTGCGTGCCCATCGCTTTTATTATGGTATATCAGAAAGTTAAAAAATTATTTTAAACTTTTAAGCGCAATTTATAAAAGCTTTTTTTAAATATTTTTTTTTTAGCGAAAAAATGTCTGATGGATATAAAAGAAAACACCAAAGTGGACATGAAAAAAGCAAAAAGAAAGAGAAAGTGAGTGAGTCGCTTAGTAAAATTAAAGGTTCTTTATTGAAATATGTTAACATTTTCTAAGGAGACAGAAGATAATGCAGATGCGGTAGATATTTCGTCGATCGAGGTTAGACCTAAAGAAGCTGAGGCTTGTTGGGACTCGCAAGAATGTTCAAACCAATAAAACTGAGAATGTCACAGAAGACGAGGCTGACGGGGGTTTACGAAATTTTAACGACGCTTCCAAGCAGGGTGGTGCCTGAATCACTACCAAACAACATCAGCCTCAAGTATTTTCAGTTCTGATCCAGCACGGTGGACAACCATAAGCGCAGATCTTATCGATTACTTCTCTCGTAATCACCCTGTGCAGAAATTGGATATAAGTTTTAAGTTATACGCCACTAAAATTTGGCGAAATAATGAGATGTCCATCACAAGATTATTTTTTCAGAAAACTGAACAACAATGATATTATAAAAAGGGACTGGTTGATATTTTCCGAATCTACTGGCAATTTTTTTTGTTATAAATGTATTTTGTTCAAATCGGACCTACCTGGAAATCCAAACCTGTGTAACCAATTCCTTACAGGCTTTAATGACTGGAAAAACGCACATTCGAGAATTTCAAGTCATGAAGTGTCAAAAGAAACATTTTGCATCTATTTCTGCTTTAGTGAACTACCAACAAACTAGAAAAATTGATGAGACGTTTGATATTGTCAAGGAAAAAGAAAGCACATATTGGACAACGGTTTTTAAGAAGAGTAGTGGAAGTAATTAAGTTTTTGGCCGAAAGGGGACTAGCGTTTAGAGGCGATAATGAAATACATGGTGATCCTAGTAATGGCAATTTTCTTGGGTGTATCGATCTCTTAGCCAAATTTGATCCGTTTCTAGAAGAACATGTAAGAAGATACGGTAATCCAGGCCGCGGAAAAAGTATCATATTTATCCTCCACAAACGTATGAAGAACTAATAATTTTACTGGGGTCAAAAATATTGGAAAAAATAGTTACAGAAATCAAAGAAGCCAAGTATTATGGAATCACTGTGGATTCTACACCTGACGTTAGCCATACGGATCAACTCTCCATAGTTATTAGATATGTCTCAAAAAACTGGAGATATATATGAAAGATTTTTGATGTTTTTGTTTAAAATAGAAAAACATGATGCCAAGTATCTTTTTGACACTCTAATTTCAGTTTTAGAAAATCAGGGAATAGACCCAAAATTTTGCAGATGTCAGTCTTATGACAATGAGGCTAATATGAGCGGAGTGTATTCGGGAGTACAAACTAGATTTAGGGAAATCAACAGCGCAGCCACTTGGGTACCATGTGGAGCTCATAGTCTTAATCTAGTTGGCACAGCGGCGGCAGAAAGCTGCTTAGAAGCTGTAAAATTTTTTGAAATTTTGCAATCGCTCTACAATTTCTTTGCAGCATCCCCTCAAAGATGGTCCAAACTAAGGTCTTTGGGAAGTAAATTTGGTGTAAAAAGACTTTCAGAGACCAGATGGTCAGCACGTTATGAGGCTGTAAAAACATTATGTGCCCATTATGATGATATACGTGGTATTCTTACAAATATTTCAACTAGTGAAGGTATGAAACCTACAACAGTGATTGAGGCACAAACCTTAATCCATCAAATGAATACTTTGGAGATGGTATTACTCACAGTTATTTGGGAAGATCTACTAAAACACGTCAATATTGTAAATAAATCTCTTCAAGAACCTGGCATCGAGTTTAACACGATGGTGCGACTTTACGACAGTTTAATTCAATATTTTATCTCACTGCAGAACTGAGGACATGTATAATAGCTATTATCTTAAGGCAAAAGCCCTTGCACCAGATTCAGAATTTAAAGAATCCGAAACTAGAGTTCGTAAGAGAAAACGACAGTTCGATGAAGGGCCAGATGAGACTCCCTCTCGCAGTGCCAAAGATTCCTTTAAGATTAATGTTTTTTTTATTGTTCTGGATGTGCTTTGCGCTGAAATGACAAAGAGACGCACTGCGTATACCAGCCTTTATGACACATTTAGTTTTCTTACGGATAATACACTGACCGAGGACATTATCAAGGTTAAGGCTCAAGCTCTGGTAAAAATGTATCCGTCTGACTTAGAAGAAAACTTTGTTGATGAGTATTTGATTTTTTCAAATTTGTACCCCCCCAAAACCACCCTCTATAACGGATCTCATCAATTACAAATAAAGGATAAACTTGTGTCAAGTTTCCCAAATGTTAATATTGCATTGCGCATATACCTTTCGATATTGGGTTCGAATGCAGAAGGAGAAAGATCATTCTCCAAGTTGAAGCTTATAAAAAATTTTATGCGTTCAACTATGGGTCAAGAGAGAACTTCGTCACTGGGCCTTCTGTGTATTGAAAGTGATGTCGTCGCGGCATTAATTTTGAATATAATACACGAATTCGCTGTGTCAAATCCCGAAAAAAGGACTTATTTTAGGATCTACTTAGTAAACCAAACGTTTGTGTCATATTTTTGTGTATTTGTATTTATATATTATTTTAACCTTCACTATATAATATATAAAAAATGTTATAAGTTTTTTGGGGTATTTTTATTTCAATATATTTTTTTTCAAAGCCCTAAGACCTTTGGCCTTCGTACGCCCTAGGCACGTGCCTACTGTGCCTAATTGGTAATCTGGCCCTGCTCGCGAACTGCTTGTTTGGCACCAAACTATTACAATGACACCCAGCGGCGGAAAATGAAAATATTCTACGGATACGCAGCAGTAGAAACACTTGTACAGATGCTGTTGGCGTGTCGTCAATTGATGCAACGCGTTCGTAAGCAGCAGTTGAAACGAGGCTTTAATACGTTTACGCATGCGCGTTTAATGTATAACGGACGGTAAATTATCTATTTCAGTTAATGTTGCAGATTGCGTTGTTCCTTAATCTTTGAATTGGATCTGGCTTATTATTTTTTGCAGACTGTTAGAGCAATTTTACAAAAGTAAGCTTAACTTTCGATTATGTCAAATAGAATTTCCGATGCTGGACCTCCCAAAGGATCTACAAAGCGAAAGTATGTTTTGATGTCCATGAAACAAAAAGTGGAATTGCTGCAAAAATTGGATAAAGGCATATCGTTTGTTTCTCTAACCATTCCGAAATCTGTTTATCAATTTTACGCTGCTCTGAGGGGGTGACGGCGCGTTTATGTCGGAAATAATCGGCACTTCAAATCATAAAAAAAGCAAATTTTTTTGTAAGACATTTCGTAAATCAGTTTGTACTAAATCCTTGGTCAGTCGATGAAGAGTTTGAGCCAAAAATACTACTTCACGGGCATGACTGGCTTAATGGTCCCACCATACAGAATCTCAGCAATTTAACTACACCCCAAGAAATTACAAATACCATCAAGACTCTAAAAATCCGAAAAGTGGGAGGTATTGAATGCATTTTTAGCACAGCTATAAAAAACATGATCAGCAAACTGACCTGCGTATTGAATGCCTGCTTGATGAACTTTTATTTCTCTCAAACCTGGAGGAAAGCAAAAATGACTTTAACCCTGAATCCTGGTAAGGCTCTCACGTTAACAGGAGGTTATAAACTCATTAGTCTCCTACCAGCTCTAGGGAAATTTTACAAAAAGAATCATCCCCACAGAATGTGCTCTTACTTTCAACTATTCCCCCTTCCCCCCGGGAACAGTTCGAATTCCAGAAACATGTTTACAATGAAGAAGCAAATTGTCCGAATTACTGAGTTTGCAGGCGCTGCATTACATAGCAAACTTTATATTGCACTCCTCATGCTGGACGTGGCAAAAGCTTTGGACAGCCTCTGGCATGAGCGGCTTATCTATAATCTGATCAACCAGAATCTGAATCGGAAGCCTATCCTATTAATTAATTTGTTCATCAGAAATCGAATTTTTCATGTGGCTGCAAAAAATTGTTAAACTCAAACAAAGACTATAAGAGCGGGAGCAAAGCAAGTATCAATAACTGAGCTTTCCTCTATCTATTTTATATTACGGATTATCACAAATCACAACTCAATGATTGCGTTGAATGCAGATGACACCACCTTGGTGGGTTAAGTCCGCTATTTAAACCATGCAATAAGGGAATTTCAAAACTGCAGTCCCAGGAATAAACAGTGATGTAAATGCTGGAAAATCTGTATTAATAGCAAAATCTCAACTGCTCGGTTATAAAGATCAGAATGCCACACTAAACTAATTTTATTATTTAATCAGAGTTTTCTTTAGGTTTGTCATCATTAACATAATGTTTTAAGGGAAACAAAATATCAGATATTTGAAAACTTTTATTTAATGTAGTATTTTCTGTATTATTCTACATTATGTGTATAGTATAATAATAAAATGATTATTATTCTTTTAAATTAAATTAATTATTTAATTAGATAGTTTTCTCGTGTTCATTATGATTAATATAATCTTTTAGGGGAGGAGAGAATATAAGATACTCTACCTTTTTTAAAACGTTCCATATTTTCAGTATTGATCTCCAATGTGTGTTTCCTTAACAATAATAAGACATTTTTCAGTTTTGAGGAAAGCTATTTACAATTTGCAGAACTTTTTAACATTCTCGGAAAGCGAAGTTAAATTTTCAGGTGAAGAATTTTTGTTTTTAAAATCTAGCAGATCATCATATGGTAAAACTGAGCAAAAAATGTTGCATTTACTTTACTGGTTACGATTACAGCAACAAAACTAGCTCTATAAGAAGAAAATTATAATCAGAGCAATAGCAAACCATGGTAAAATTCCCTCAGTTGTCCCAACTGTAATCAGGGGATCACGCATAGCATATCGTCAGTAAGGGAGGAAATCCAGTTGGGTTAGTCTATTTCTTAAGGTTCATGTTTCTCACACCTTGCCATGCTTTCAATCTGGAACATCACCTTTAGTGATTCACACAGTCATGACTCTTATTAGCACAAACTGGAGAAGATACACAATCCTTGTAGCTTGACACAGAAACTGAAGCCTGTCTGTACAGAATTTCTTTTTCCTCCTGAGAAAAGGGGCCTGTATCTGTTTACCCCTGAAGTCAATAGTTTTAATTAAAATCTCAACCAAACACAAGGTTCCTGTTTTTCCTAATTTTAAGCTCTACTTTGGGGTGTTTCTCCCTTTCGATACTTACAACAGTTTAGTAACAAATGTGACACGTTCGTAGATTATATTTCATTTTTTTTTGTACATTTTTCACCATTTATTCTTTATTATGGTGACTGTCATAGTTGCCAGTTTTAGTTCAACACTTCGTCACTGACCATTTCAGTAGTCTTATAAATTCAGATGCTCTAAATCTTGAGTTCCACTAAACCAGAATTTTCATATTCTAGTTTAATACTGATATCTAGAATTCATTTTAATTTAACTAAAAACCAAAAATTTCAGAATTGTTTAATTATTATATATAAATTTTGAATTTAGTAACAATATAGTTAGTTACATGATGTTCAAAAATGTTAATTACAAGCATAAAAAACTTCCGTTTTAGAAATAGTATTAGTAAAGTTTAGAATTAGTAATTATTTCTAAAATAATGCTTCTTGTTAGTAGATTAAAGTGGTCAGATCCAACTGGCTCGTCAAGTACTATTTTAGACTTCAGTGTTAAAGTAATTTCCACTCATACATGTATAATGATTAACATTATACATGTATGAGTGAGATACATGTATGAGTGAGAACATTAACATTAAAAGTTTATTAATGGATGGAAAAAACAAGAAAATACTTTATTTACATTTCATTCCAAAATTGCAACATTCACTTCTTTGAAAGCAGCTTGATTTTGATTAGCTGACAATTTCATGAATTCATAAACTGAATTTTCAGTTTAATGAAAAAGGTTATAGAAGCACCTGAAGCACTGCATAAAAGAAAGGTTGTGTAGTGGATTTCTAATTCAGGAAGTGCTTTGTAAGGTTAGAGTTTGCTCAGAATATCATGTTATGCCTCAAATAACAAGAGGAAATGCTTATCAGCAAGTTTCGATATATTCAATACAGGCAAGATTATTGTCTATTGTGTAGATTATCGTTCCGTGATATTTCTAGTCTCACCGGTCGTTTATCCAGCCACTGTCATGCGAATATGAAATCAATGCACTGCTGAGGGTCATACTGAACAGCGCAGTATCTCAACTCCCTCGGCATTTTTGCAGCATGCCCAGCATTGGCTTGTAAGGTGCATCGATGTGGATTATCAGCAGGGTGACCATTACTTCGTCTTCCTTTGACAATACAGCATAGAGAGAGACAGCGACTCTGGTGTGCCTAATGACAAAGCTGGGTACAGGAGTGGTACCATGTTGCCTTTTTAAAGGAGTCCCGGTTCTACATGTAGCATAATGATAGCTCTGGTGTGCCTAATGACAAAGCTGGGTACAGGAGTGGTACTATGTCACCTTTTTAAACGAGTCCCGGTTCTACATGTAGCATTCTGATAGCTGTATAAGTGTCTGGAGTGTCCGATACGCTCGCACATCACCTGCTTGCATTTGATAGCGGTATAGGGGCCCTGCACCTGGTATGATGGTTTCGGTAGGGATTGGGCACATGACACACACATCTCTAGTTCAGATCGACGATAATTTGAATGCAGATGGGTACGTTTCTGACATCTTACATAGAGTGGTTGTGCCCTATCTTTGAGGCCCCCAAATGCCTTGTTCCTATAAGATAATGCAAGACCACATGTTGTACATCATGTTCTAACCTTCCTTGATACACAGGGTATTTGTCTGCTTCCCTAGTCTGCAAGGTCTCCAGATCTATCACCCATTGAAAACATCTAACCATCGGTTGCTGAGAGACTGGCCTGCCACCCTTTTCCAGCTAATACGGTTGATGACATGTCGCATAGACTTCAAGCAGCATGGAATGAGTTGCATATTTCTGTCACCGAACCCCAGTTTGACTTCATGCCTAATGGGAAAAGGGCCATTTTAACTGCTAGGGGTGGCAGCTGTTCCTACTAATTTAACACCCCTGTAAAACTCTACAATGCTTTAAAATTTAATCACTTTGTCTTCATGCCATACTGTTTATGTGCAATAAATATCTTTTTTTGGATTTGTTTTCCTTCATGGTGTTGTAATTTTAATGGCCAGCAGTGTAATTATCTACACTCCCATAAAAAGTGTGATTGGGAAAATGTTTGGCTGTCTTTATGGTTCAAAGGTATTGGTTCCACCCATAAATAAAACTGCCATAAAACCAGTTTCCTACCTGCATAACACCACCTCGCTTGCAGTTTTTGATATTGCATTTTTTCAAAATATGATCATTCAGAATGTAAACCATCACAAAATGCAAAATTTTCGCATTTTATATTGCTGTCCAATTCTAAAGGTATGAAATGACTCCTTTCTTAAAAAAGATGGACAGGAAACACTGATCAGGGAAATTATGGATAAATACACTGCTCGACATTGAAAATGCAACACCAAGAAGGACTGGTCAGAAATTTAAGCAAATTTTAGAGTAGACGCACATCACTGAGTTATGCGAATGATGTGAAATGCGCAGCTCTCCGACGCACGTGAAGTAAGATCTAAGAGAAGGAACGTGAAGAATGGGCAAACAAATACTAAAGATAATAAGGAGTTAAAACTTTAATTTGACTTACAGCATGTTTTTCCAGTTCAAGATATGTGGATTTAAACAGAAATTCATAGCTGAATGAAATAAAAAACAATAAAAAACAAAGAAGGAAAAGGCCGAAAAAGATGCACCACATCTATTGATGACAGAAGAATAAAAAGACTATGTCTCCAAGATAGAAAAATGTCATCAGAAGTGATCTGAATGATGCTGGTATTTCTGTCAGTTCAAGAACAATCAGGAGAAGATTAACAGATGTTGGACCGAGAGGTAGAATTCCACGGGGAAAAAAAAAAAAAAAAAAAAAAAGACTGTAGTGGGCAAAGGAACACATTAATTGGACAGATGATCAGTGGTCACAAGTTATATGGAGTGATGAAACTAAGATATTGTTATTCGGTAGCGATGGGCGAAAATATGTAAGACGTAGAATAGGAGAAGAGCTACATCCTGACTGCATTCAAGCAACTGTGAAGAACCCAGTTAGTGTTATGATTTGGTCATGCATGTCACCAGATGGTATTGGTCACCTTCATGTCATCGATGGACACTGAATGCCAGAACATACATTGACACTATTCTAGAACCAAAACTTCTACCTTCCATCAGAGATCTCTTTCCCAACAATGCTTCGTTTATTTTTCAGCAGGATTCTGCTTCTTGCCCCATGGCCAAAATATCGAAAGAGTGGTTTCGTACAAACAGCATTAAATTGTTGTCATGGCCAGGAAACAGTCCTGACCTCAATCCTATTGAAAATTTGTGGCACCGTTTGAAAACTTGTCCGAATGAGGCGCCCATCAAATAAAAGGGAACTAATTGAGGCTATAATTGTTTACTGGCATCATGTAATAATGAAAGAAGAGCTTAAAACTCTTGTCAGCTCAATGAAACGTCGACGTGAAGCTGTAATCAAAAATAAAGGGTACCCTACTAAGTACTGATAACTCACTACAATCATCACTATCTAATGTATATCAATAACTATTATCATTTAACTTTTTTGTATTGCAAATAATTGAATTTTGTGTTTTGTATTGAATTCAGTAATAAATTCTCTTTAAAATGGATATATACAAGTTTGCATTTTGTGAAACGTAACGTTTTCTATAAGCATACAAAGTTCAAAAACATAAAAATTTCCAAAAGTGTCCACAATTTTGATCACCACTGTATACATACATTGATGCTAAAAAAATAAGTGACAAACACTAAAAGATAATGTAAAAATGTAAAATGGGGAATTAAAACTTACAGTTCATATATGAGGTACAGGCTGTATTGGCAAATGGAAAAGGCAACTAAAATTAGGATAAAATGCAATACGATGGTCAAATCACATCGACTTAAAACGGGGTATGCTGGACCTATGTGTCAGTTCACAGACAGCAATAGATCTGTAAATCTGAGATAGCCAAAGTGGAAAGCATGAGCTGAAGATACCATCTGCAGAATGAAATGCATTAGAGGGCTGTCGGGATGTTGCAAACTGGTGCAAGAAAATTAGCCGTTTTGAAACAGCATGCATTCTACAGTCATCAATAGGCTGTGGAGTCATTTTCAAAGGGATCGAAACCCCTATACAAGATGTGGGTCTGGACGGCACAAGATTAAAATAATGGCAGACAATTGCTTCTAGTTGCTATGTGCAAGATGCTGTAGATCACTAACAGGACATCAGATGGCACTGCACCTCAGTGCTGCTGCAGGACAGCCCATATGCCCCCCAAAGTGTGTTGTGCCCACTGCATGTAGCTGAACTGTGGTTCGATGAGCTGTGGTTTGTGTTCCTTCGTACCCATCGCATGTCAGAATTGGCTGAATTAGTCCTGTGAACACCAGGGCAGTGAAGTTGGTGTACTCTTTATGGATAAGTCTTGATTTAACCACCAGAAAGATTTTCTAAAGGACAGTGATATGGCATGCTATTGAACATGCTATTGAATGCTAAACATTGTTGAAAGAGACTATTACAGAGGAGGAGGAGGCTTAAGGAAGGGTCGCACCAACCTCTACGTGATTCGTGGTGGTTCCGTCAGAACCATCCAATATCATGATGAAGTTGTACAGTGCACTAGGAGGAAGGAGCACCCAGACCTGACATTACTCAAGGCAACTTACACAGTTAATTGCCCCAACCTCTGGAGGCAACCCACAGGGAGACAATTTTTGTTTCACAAAGGTCTAGATTTTGAATCACAAGTTAAAGGTGGACAGCTATGCATCCACCGAAAAGCACAAGCACAAAGTTTGACATTGACCGTACCCCAGTGTTGACCAAGGGAGCCAAATCCTCCAAGGACAACCTTTCAATATCAAACCACATAGCACCCCCACAGCCAAAGGGCAAACCAGTACCATACGGTACCTGCCAAGCCTGAACCTACCACCGAATAAACGATGGTTCTAGTCTTGTGAAAACTGTTAATTTTTTTCCAGAAGTCGAGTCTGTCTAGATATTGACCTAGCCAGAACACTGGGCTTGCTGCCAGTCGATCTCGGGGGGGGGGGGGGAGATGAAATTCTACAGTCTTGTTCATTCTTTTTTATCGATGCAATGAAAATCAACGCAATATTTATGGATGATAATGTCAGCCTCCATGGAGCTCGAGTAGTGCACAGTTATCTGGAGAATAAAAAAATTCCACATCTGCCATGACCTGCTAGATCACCGGATTTGAATCCCATATAATGTCAGACATGTTGGGATGACAGATAGCAAGTCGCAGTGCACCGCCATTCAGCCTCCATGAGTTTCAACATGCATTACTACAGGAATGGGAACTACTGCCACAATAAGTGATCAATGACGCTATAGACAGCTTGATTCACTATTGTTAAACATGCATTTCAGCTAAAGGATATCATACCCATTATTAGTGTGATGATTCCATTGTACCTTTTTCTGACTTATTTGGTCTTCTGCGATGTGATAGTCATAATACATGTGTTTGCTTCATTGTTTGCTATGTGGTTTATAATGCCATGCCAATGTCTTGGATCAATTTCACGCATATACATTAGACAGGTTTTGTTTTATTCCGTGTTTTGCTTTTGTTGCTTATTTTTTTAGCAGGAGTGTATTAGATATGAATTTTGTGTCCTTAACTGCATCTAAGTAGCCTGTTAACTGCTTTTTAGTGTTCCTATCTAGGAACTCTATTATATTACAAGAAAATAAACATCTAAAAGCTAAGTTTAACCTTGCAGAAGTACATTGATGAAGCTAATCTTTCCTGAAATTCTGTTTTTGATACTAGTGGAGAAGACGTTACACATCAAGAATTTTATCCAGTACTCTTGTAGATTTAACAGATGTAGGTTTATATTCATTCATTACAAAAATTTCCAAAACTTTAGTTACATAGCTTTCTTGATTTAAAATAGGCTTTTCAGACTCTTGTCTAATGTCAATTCCCAAAAATTTAAGCATTTTTGTAATTCCTCACATGGTGAATGATTTATAAAATTCATGGACGAAGTCATCTATTTCAGAACTTAAATTTCCAATAACCATTAAGTCATCTTACGTATGCTGCGATGATAAGATATTTGAGCATATCTTTACAATATTTAATAAAAATAAATAAGAATTTATTTATGCAACACTTATATTAAAAATTTCTATTTGAATAGTTATAGAATGCTAGACGTATAATTTTATGGCATTTTTAAAATGAATTTTGTAAAAAAAACCGTATATATCAAAATATATAAAAGTTCAACAGTTTCATATGTAATTAAAAATAATAGCAAATCACAAAAAATTCTTAAGTTCACAATAATATTACCTCTTAATAGCAGTTTAGCCCATGGTAACTGCTTTTTGCTGACGAATCTGGAAAGAAACAATTTAAGAAAATATTTTTAAAAAAAATTACCAAAGTATCTTCATATCAGGAAATATAAATTCCTAAATATTTGTAACGGTTACAGCAGCAGAGACAGAAAAAGAAACAAACGTACAACAAACACAGGAATATATATATATATAAAAGGAGAGACAGAGCTGATTTTAACACTAAACAAACCTATGTGATTGTCTAGTGTCCTAGGAGCAAGTGCCTTACTTAAACTGTAACCAGATCGAAAATCGCTTCCATTGCTGTCTTATCAAACATAATGTTTTGAAAAATCTTTACCTACTAAGATTTTATAGAATTAGGTCCTGTGAACTCTCCGAGAGTCCAAAATTTTGCTGCTTTGATGTTTTGCTAAATTCTAAAAATTTTGTAGTTAAAAATTTGCCATCCCTAAATTCTGCTTCCCAGTAAACTCACTTTGGTTGCACAGGCTCTGACATCGTTCATAGCCAAAAGATATTTTCTGCTCCTTATCTTTGTTATGGTTAACAATATACCTGTGTTGCATAAATGCATATTAAAATATACATACTATTTAAAAATTCACTCTACTTTCATAATTATTGCAGGTTACAAATTTCAAGAATATAATTTCAAAACAGTATTACTATTCTACTAAAATCTAAAATGAACTTTGCAAATAAATTTCATTAAAATAATACATATATCGCTTACACACTACTCCTTATCTTTGTTATGGTTATCTACTCACACTATTCACATACTACTATCTCTTACACACTACTCACACTATTCACATACCATTACTTTCTTGCAGCCACACATCATCTTCTTCTTGCTCCAAAACTTCCAGCCATTGTTGTTCTATTTCATTAATTTCTTCCCCAACTTTAATTTCATACTCAGCCTTAAATAAATAATATAAAAATACACATATACATACAAATCTCTTTGTTAGTACAATGCAATTCACAAAATCAAAGTATGTTTGGAGGGAAAATCTAAGTCATAATTGAAATCAATGCAATGCAAATGCAAGTGTAATATATAGCACATTATTTTCTATACATACAATATTAGGAATTCTTGAAGAAGCTTCCACATCATTTCCAATTATCAGCTAGACACTTTCCTCTCAAACATCTATTTCAGAATAAATAACTGAATGATATCTTTGTTTCTCTTCATATTAAGTGATTTCTTTATTACTTCAGTTACCAAAAGGAAAGCTTAATACACACTTAAAACTGTGTACATAGCTTTATGTACTTTTCGTGTTAAAATGTATACACACACATATTCAGAGTCGAATACATAAGCATAGATGTGTGTGTCTGAGGAGCTGTAATTATGGAGAGGTTATAAGCACAAAGGGGGTTTTTGGTGATTTAGGTGCAAAGAACATGTAAGTAAAGCAGGAAAGCTGCCATGGTCATAATGTAAACCAGTTTACTACTGTGAAGCTAAATCGTGGAGTGGTAAATTCTCTTCGCCAATTCGCCAGGTCTACACGAAACTGATGAATATGATACAAAACCAAAGAATTTAAAAGATTAATTCTTCAACAAAACTTTTCGTGATAATTAAAACTCAGATTTTCAAATTTTTTACTTAAAATAAACAATTCATTATTTACTCTACTTGCACGAATCATTGATTTGATTTACATCTATACAATGGAGGGGAACAGCATAACAGAAGTTTGAACTCTTAATAAACTTGACTTTCAACCTTCAATACTGGCTCAACAACTATTTTGTGCATGCACAAAAATTTATGAAAGATGGATGATCTGCTTAAAGTCCGGCTCGACAGCTGTTTTGCTCAAGTGCAAAAAGTATAAATGCTGGATGGATTAGCTCCTATAAAGTAAACAGAATATATTTTCCCCTCCAGTCTGATGGAGCCACTTCTGCACTGGCAAAGCTTTGGTTCTTAACGTACACATACCGTATTTGACGGCATATAAGACACACTTTTTTCCTAAATTTGGTCTCAAAAAAGTTACCTGCGTCTTATACGTGAAGGTAATTGCATTCAATAATTGTTTATTTGGCTTTTACAAAACATGAGAACTAAATGAAACCATGCTATTGAAACTGTTTTTCCTTCTGTGTGGCCGTCTAAATAAGGGTGCATCTTATATGCCGTCAAATACGGTACTCCTTTATGACAATCAGCATGTTTCTTGCAAGAGATGGGTAAATTTTAGAAGGTACCAGGTAAAATGAGTAGCCATGAATATATACACAATAGAATGAGATGGAGAACTGTCGGTAGATTGGAGGCAGGACAATCACAAGTGCAGGTGGCTACAAAGCTCAAAGTAATGCCCACTCTAATATGCAATTTATGGAAACAGTTTTAACACTGGATTTGTACTGAGAAGAGCCAGAAACAGAAACAAAATGAGAATCAAGGAATTAGGTTGACGGCATGGGATGGGTTTTATCTTTTTTTAAAATTAAACTTAAATAATTATATATATGTATGAAATAATAATAATTGTAATTATCTTGATAACTGGGGCATAGCTGAAACAAATTTGGGTGGTTATTTCTCTGCATAGTTTCACTGATGCATGATGAAGAAGAGACTTGAAGATAGATGTGACTGAAATAAACATAACTTTTATTGCCGGATAATGAAATAATTATTGAAATATATTCTTCTCCACACATAACCATTAGTGCCATATGCACCCCATTTTACATAGCATATCACATTTCAGATTACTTGCTGGCAGCAAGACAAAGCAAAGAGGGCAGCCAGGAAGAAGAGTCGAAATAAAAGAGTCAAAGCAAAAGAGAAAAAGACTGTGTAGCAAAGAACTTTTATACTAGATTACATTTCGGATCACGTAACAGATTAATATCCAGATGCTGGGTTAAGTTTTGATTGCATTCTAGGAATAACTGCGCAACAGAGAACAGATGACAGATCTTTTTTCAGAAACACATGAAGTAAAGATTATTTTAGAAAAGTTATTGCTTTATTATTTTTAGAATGAAGAAAGGACTTAAAGGACTATTGTTTATTTATTATTAGAAAGAAAGATATTTTTTCATATACATATATTCATAAGGCCGGCTAAAAGCCTAAAACCAGTTACAGAACTAAAAAAGCAAGAACTCAATAGTTCCATCAAATATTTCTAACATTCAAATACTGCACATCAGGGCTTAATTTCCAAAATTAGAAGTACCGGAGCCCTATGGAAGATCGTCAGCAAAGAGGAACAAGAGTAAATAAATAATTAAAATGACTATTAAACTCTTAAAAATTTTAAATTAAATAGTTAATTATTATCAAATTATTAATATCTATTTTAATTAAATTTTATAAATTGTTATTCAATCAATAATTATTTATAATTAATTAATTATAATTTAATTGATAATTATTGGATATTAATTATTATTTATTGAAATAATTAAAGGTTGAGTAAGTAAATAAAATGTAAGAGATAAATTGAAATTTAACCCTTTGCGGCATGGTGGGTCAATATATGTCCCACCTAATTTATATTTATTTTCTCAGTTAGCAATTTCCGTTAGAAACTTTCTAATCTTTAAAAAATAATCTATTTTAGTTATTATCTTTCTCAGTAGATGTCACTACTATGCCAGGGCTTAAGTTTATACGCAAAAAATATTCAAAATAGGATCACAAGAGTGATATCCATTTATCTCGCATTTTTCAATATTTTAAAAATTTTGGTATACAATTTATGATATGTATGATTCTTTTTAATATTCAAAGAAATTTTATTTTCAAAAATCTTAATTGGATTCAATATTTTATAAGATTAATTTTGAAGCAGTTGAAATAAGTGGGTTAATATTTTTCCCATCACACAGTTGAATTTCCGCACAATAGATGGCAGAACTTCACGATTGTTTTTCTTTTCGTTTTTGCATCTACTTTTTTCGTGATTGCTCGCGCTTTTACATCCGTTGTATGCTTCTGATGTGCTAAAATGTCTAGAAAAAATTAACAACTCAGGAAGCTTTGGATCTTTTGCTGAATTGCCATCCAATTGCGACTCAAATGCTTCAGATGTCAGTTCTGATTCAGATGAATTGAAATCCAGGAGGAATAACTGAGGTTGAAGTTATTGCTGAAGAAGAAAAGGGAAGTAGTTATAATTTGTTTGCTTTTAAAGACACAGACCCATCTATGCATGTAGCACTGTAAATATGAATCGGAAGTAATCTACCCACAAATTTATGTCAAGAGAATATATAGACTTTTCAGTTAGCGATGATTCTATTTATTGCATAAAAGGAAGGATAAAGATCCGTTTCTATCCTTCTTGCTTGGAAAGGCAACTGAAATGAAAGAAATTAATAGAAAAGAACGAGATGGAAAAACAATAACAACAACAACAACAAAAAAAGTACTGTGCCCAAAACAGCATTATTTCATATAATAAGAATATACGGGATATGTCGACTTATTTGATCAACTGAAAGGACTATATGAAATAGACCAGCAAAAGCAAGAAATGGTGGCACAGGATATTTTTTTTTTTTCTCCTTTTTACATGCGAGTATAGTAAACACATTTATTCTATTTAAGTTTGTTCGCAAACCCGATCATGATGTAAAAACAATGAAAGATTTTAGTCTCTCAGTTTATAGAAGGTCTAATGGCACTTGCAGGCAAGAAAGAGCTGAAAAATGAACTGAAATCCCCAGTTCAAATAAAAACTAAAAAACCGTTTCGTACAACCAGAAAAGACTAAAAAATGTAAGTTCACACACCAAAGAGAAGGAGCAGCAGAGAAGATGTGCATATTGCAGCACATCGAAAGAAGAACGACGAACATTTTGGATGTGTGAAACATGTGAAGTGCCTCCATACTTACAAAAGAATGAAACAACATTTTTTCAAAGTTTTATGAAAAATGACTTTTTTCATTTTTAATCATATATAAATGTTTTTGAATCAAGTGCCAATTTTAATATTTTATTTAGTTCATATGTACGGGTATCAAATTTAATCTAAAATAATATTCAAGAAAATATTTTCTTTTGTTCTTAAAATTTAAAAATATGAAATATATATATGTAAAATGTGCATATGCAAAATTATACAAGTCATGCATATATGCAATAAGTACAAAATGCATTTTAGTGTGTTTATTATGAATATTTTAGAATGCACGCTTTATTTTGTTTATTCATTCCACATATGATTTTTTTTTCCTGCTATACACCAATATGCTATAAGACATGTGCTAGTTGCATGGTGGGACAAATGGTATCCCACCTTTCCCCGTAAAAAATAAAAGCGCAGAATTTTTTTCAAGCTTTAAAGGCACTTAAGTAAGTCCATCTGACTTATTCTAAGGCATTTTTTCAAAGATTAAAATATATTTTAAATATACGTGTCGCAAAGGGTTAATAAGCGACTTTTAATATAATTTTATTGTTAAAATAAAATTTTCGAGATAAAATTTCTACTAAAATTATTATTCAATTATATAAAAGAAGTGCCGCAGCTTTCTTATTCAGGGCTCTGGTGCTTTCCAGATAGAATTATTTATTACAAAAACTAAGAAGCCGAAATCCGGTGGGCTCCAGCCCAATTTAAGCTCTGACTGAAAGGGGGGGGGAGTTCTTCTATCATCACAAAAATTAAATATACTTAAAGTATAGCTGATGAAAATTCCAGGATGAAACAGAATGAGGGTATAAGTGGGTGGAAACAAAAAATGAGGGGAATCTTGCTGAGAGAGAACGTTCTCTTTGACAACGGCTCTGCTCTCTGCTGATATAATTATAGCCATCAAGCAGATGTGTGTCAGGGATAAAATGAGTCCTGAATCTGACTCCTAAGGATGAATGTAAAGTTGGTGGTTACGCTTTTGCCCCCATTAGTGGATACTGTGGGAAGATGATGTATAGGATGTGCTTGAGCAGTTTATCTCAGTATTTCACTCTTATTGTACTCACTGTTACTTAACGCACATTTAAGAACACAAATTTTCCTTCCTGCGAGGATAACTAACTGTAAGCACTGATACACTAGATACGATGGCATGGCGAAAAATTTACGCGTTTCTAAACAAACTTCCCCATATTTATTGCCTTTCTTAAAGGAAAAGGTTTCTGCATGTGAGTGAGGGGACTTTACTTGAACGTCTCATGTTCTCATGAGTTCATATTTCTAAGGAAATAGAGTATTGCAATGTCTGCTTATTGTTAAACTAAAACGTTAGGAATTCTAATTTTTTTCTCCTTTAAATAGTGGTTCAGATTTATAAAAAGAAGTACTGGAGCTCATCTTATTTAGGGCTCCGGTGTGCTCCAGCTAAAATTGTAATTTATCTTAAAAATTGAGAAGTACTGGAGCCGGGCTTCGGCGCAATTTAAGCACTGCTGCACACTGTAGTTTGAATTCCTCCCCAAAAAAGCTGAATTATCAGTTTCTACATAGTCATGTGCCCAGTCACTTAAGTGAAGAACTGTGCTTTTTACAGATGAGTTAAGACTAAGCTTGGACACTGATTCTCATCATACCTGTCTGCATCTGGTGAGAGCCTAGAACACAATACATACCTCCCTCATCAGGGAAAAGTATCATTAGGAAGGTGGCAATATAATGGTTTATGCTGGCATTAGGTTGGATGGCCACACATCTTGCTTGTGTTTGACAAAAGTTTGCTAACTGCTATGAGGTCCAGACAGGAGATCTTAGAGCCAAGGGCGCAGTTGGATCTGGGCTCTTCTTAATTGATAACAGCGCTTGTCATATAGGGCTCAGCTGGTCGACAATTACTTGGAAAGTGAGGATGATCGACAAATGGTTTGGCCAGCCTGCTCTCCTGACCTTAACCTTAAAAAGCATGTTTCGGATACTCTTGGGACAACAATTTCATCTTGCCATCCCCCTCTGAAAGCCACCTGTAGCTGAAAACTGCTTTGCTGCAGAAATGGGATCGACTACCAGTGACTCCTCATCTGGCTCCTGTCCAGCATGTAGTCACACTGTGCGACAAATCTGGCCGTGAAAGAGAGACAGAATCCCATATTAGACACATTTTCAGTTTGATACCATAACGCGGTTATCGGACACCCCCCTTCTGTGAACTTTTAAAACAATCATACATATATAAAATAACTTTTGAATGCTACATCTCTTTCTCTGATACAAATATACTCATATATTCATAACAAGCTTCATTAAAATCGATCCATTAGTTTTTCAGAAGTTCCATAAAATGCTGAAATTCTCTTAATTTTGCAAAGAAGCTTATATAATAGTTGTGCTATATTATTTTACAAAAAATGTTACACACAAGATATTGCAAAATTCTTCATATAAAGAGTGGCTGATTATTGAAAATAATCATTGATTAAAGAACAGACATGTTATACAAATTTATATGGGAATGGGAAGACTTAACATTGATGTGTCATAGATGCAATCACAGTTCACATCCACAGCTTTAGATATGCATATGAGTACTGCACTACCCTGTGTATGCTCCTTCTGAACAGAAATGAAGAAAACCCAAGATTTCCAATTTTCAATTTGGTATCCTCAGTATGAAATGAAGAAAAAATGATAAATTAACTTATCAAAGACACCTGAACCTTTGAGATCCAATGAATATCTTAATTTGAAATGAAATCTAAAAACTTCTGAACACCTTTGCCCACTGATATTACTTCATTCAAGGAAGGATCATCGCAGCACAGTGTGTTTCTGTCAAATTAATATTCATTGTGATTTTACCGCATTCAATGCTAAGTCACAGAATCCTTTTCTAAACTCTGAATTGACTTATTTTACATGGAAGTTTTACTGAGCGCTTTCGCTCTTCGATTTCTCGATTGAAAAAACATGTTTTCTCATGAAAAGTAAGAATTTTTCTTGTCTTGTTTTTGCAACAGAATCCTTTTCTAAACTCTGAATTGACTTATTTTACATGGAAGTTTTACTGAGCGCTTTCGCTCTTCGATTTCTCGATTGAAAAAACATGTTTTCTCATGAAAAGTAAGAATTTTTCTTGCCTTGTTTTTGCAACTTACTCTAGGATATTACATGTATTTGCATTTATTTCATATCAATTGTTGTGATTCATAGCATACATTTGGGAATTAATAAAACTCGTATATTTATTATTAATCCGTTCTTTCCACAATCACAAACTGTAAAACGCATTAATTTGATTTGGAAGCTGGACCTCCTTTAAATAAAATTCTAAAACATATTTTCCCAAACTTTTTGCCCTAAAAACCTCCTTTACTAGGTTTATCTTCTTTTTTGATCAGCGCTCCATAGTATTGATACAAAGATAAATTAAAAGCAATTTGAATGTGATCTGCAATTATTGACTCATAATGCTTTAAACACATCAAATTTATAATTAAAATGCTTTAAAAATAAGGAAACAGAATGCTAATGAATACATTCAAAAGCATTTACAAGAATAAACTTGACAAAACATGCACAGATTCATGTCACAGCAAGAACAGTTGTTTATATTGAGGAAAAAACCTGTTACAACACGTGAGTAAAATACGATTACATATGGACTTATCGTAATGTTTTTAGTATTTTAGATTGATAGTTAATAATGTCTGTTCCCTCTGAAATTAAAAAAAAAATTAACCTACATAAAACTCGGACCAATATGCACAAAGGGTTGACTGACATAATTTGTTATGGGTCTCGTAAATTTGCATAATGAACAATTGCATACACAAAAGAAAATTAAAATGTAATTTCAAAAATATTTACGCAACCAAATTTTCCAAGCATATTCTTATTGATTACTTGCTTCTCAATGCCCTCTTTTTCTTCAACTGAATAATACCTGATCCCAGAATTCTTCAGTGCTCAGTTAGGAAAACATTGCTTTAGAAAGAAAGAAAATGAAGAAAAAATAAATATGGACAAAACCACCTTAGTTTAGGATTTCATAGTTATAAATATCATCCTCAGAAAGAAGAAGCTAAAAAAATCAACTGCCAGAGTGACTGTGCATTATTGTCCTGAAGAAAAGCGTGACAGAAATCGCAGGTATAATCTCTTCCTTTAATGTTATCTAATGGAATATTCCTAACACACGAAAAAGCATGCAGCAGTTACAAAATAACAATGCCAAAGTTTCTAAAATTTAACACCTTCCACATTCACCATGATATGAAAACTTGTCAAAGACTGAAAGTTAGATCTCAACTGATGGTAGATAATCTGGTGGAAATTTATACACTTTAATTCAATAGCATCTGAATTTGGCTAGCTATCAGTTAATTAGGGCAAAGCAAAAGCAATTTATCTCTTATATAAAAGACATTTACACAAAAGACTTTCTAAGAGATAGTGGTGCTTGCAATTACGTTGAACATGGAAGAAACCATGCAAACTTCATGCATACAACCCATTCACAAGTAATCAAACCTTACAACAAACTATCAGTTTTAAGTCGCCTTATGATGCATGGTTGAGCATCTGGATTTGAAAAGTGTGCTAATAAGCTTAATGATATTATTATAAACATCTATAAATATTTAACATCTATAAATAGTTTTAAACAGATTTTTATTCTTTATATAAGTTCCGAAAGTTGCCATACCAATGTATTTCTTGAAACACAAAAATTTCCTAACAGATTTGAAATACCAAGTAATTATTATTAACAATAAATTAACACATAAATCAGTACACTGCAGTAATTTATATAATGCTGCAAAATGTCATATAAAACCACATTTTCAAGAAGTATCCAACACATCAAAACAAATATGAAAGCCACAAAGGTAGAATTCAATTATAATGGCAGAACAAGGTATTTTCTCTCCATCAAAAATAATTTAATGGTATTAATTAATGCATTTTCATCATAAATTAATTTACTTAACCTGACCTATATGAATTATAATATAGTGTCCTACATATAGTTCAAATAGATAAATTAATTTATAATAAAAATGCATTGAAGGAATACCTGCATTTAGAGAGATGCTTTTTGAAACTTTATTACTGAATTTAGTCATCACCCCCCCCCTAATTGCAAACCTTTTCAAAATTGCTTCCTAAAATTTTTAATTGTTAAGCTTTTACATACTAAAAGCCTACAATTTACATAAAATTGCAAGTTAGAAGCTTGTTTACAGTAAATGGCTGTCTGTTTGCAGCAAACTGACTGTGACTGTCAAAGTTTAATTATAGCATAAATGTCAAGAAATATCACTTTCTTAGTCATACCTCTAAATGCTTCAGTGGAAGATTTTCAAGAGTTTGAGATGGCCATGGACCTATGGATGTAGGTACTGTTCCACCAGATTTAAATTCATGTTTCTGCCTACATGGGCGTTCTATGTAATGCACACCATCCTAAAATGATCAGTTTAACATATTTCAGTAGTCTGCTCAATTGCAAACACAGCAATAAAAAATATTATGCATTTGCTTACATTCAAAAAAATGATTTTGCTTTCTTTTTAAAAAATACCGCTAGTAGCAAATAAATACATCTGTAACTAATAAGAAAAACTTCAAACAGAGTTACACTCGTAATAGCTTATAAAAGAAGATTATCAGCGCATTAGATATGGAAGAAATGTAAAGCCACAGATAATAGCTGTCAATAAAATATACTAGGTGTGTGCATAAGGCTTATGGTTTTCAATGAAGGACTTAAGTTGTTGCAAAACATACTTATTTATAGAGTACAGCATGTTCATAAAACTCCTAATGCAGCCTCCATTTTTGCAACCATTGGTTGTAGACGTATACTTCCATAGACAAAGCATCAGTTTCTATTTGTTTAGTTTAACATGAGTTTGGACTACTGAGAGCTCCGTTACAGCTTTGCCTTTTTAGATGTTCTTTGCACTGCACTGCGTTTAACGTTCTTAGTAGTTTGCAGTGCAATTACTGATTGTGCTTTGTGATACTAAGAAGAGCTATGCGAGTATTTTTGGGGAATTCCCAGATCTGTGAAGGATTCCTTTTCGTGAAATAAATTTTATCAACTTGCAATTGGTTCTGAGTGCATTCAATACATTGCGAGTCCATAGGCAAGCAAGAATATTCTAGAAAACTGCAGTTAGCCAACTCGTAATATTATCTGAATAAATTAAAATAAAAAACATTTCAATCTCAAAGAATTTTTTTGTACTGCTATTAGAAATAAATCTTCATGTAAATATTATATTATCTAAAAACTTACACATTACTTGCGTAAGAATGCGTTTGGCATACCAGATGTAACAGAACTTCAAATTCAGGAATGCTGCATGATAGTAAATTATAAGAGAATATACCTGAATGAGATAGAATTTAAAAGAAATATTCTGAATTATTCCCAACCATCTCAAGGAAAGTGGTAAAACTTCCTTTTTGAAACAGAAAAAAATCTAATAAAACCCCCAAACTTTAAAACTAAATATCTCAGCGAATCTCTTCATACAATAGTCAACCTTATTACCTCTATTTTACAGAATGAGTACATACTTCTACTAAATATATCTATATGGGCCAGGGGACTGTAAAGAAATGTAGATTTCATAATTTTTACAAAACTGAATTATAAAATTTTAACATACGTAAAAATGTATATCATAATTTTAAATATTTTTGTTGGTAGAAGTAAATGGTTTTGACTAATGGTTGGCAAAATAAAGGCCACATAAAGATTTCAGGGTTTGTAGTATATTCTTCATTAATAATTATAATCTTCTGCCAGAGCCAGAATATACTACTTGTGTAGAGACATTAGGATTATTTTTCGAAGCCAAGTTGATGAAAAATTAACAGCGCCTTTGGCAGGAATCGAACTACGGACCTCTGGAATACCGCCCAGCGTGCAGAACCACGAACGCACGCTAGGAAAAGCGGGAGGGATACCTTACATACTCCCCTTTTTAAAGGGTGACTGGGGCTTTTAGGGGACCTAACTGCCAAATCCTGGGTGTAGAGAAACCTCATCCAACACTCTTTTAGTTTGGGCACCACTGTAGAGACATTAGGTATGTTTTGAAAGCAGGAGAATTGAAAAATTAACAATGCCTTTGTTGGGAATAGATCCACGGACCTCTGGAATACCGCCCAGTGTGCAGAACCACAACAACACGAAGGCATGCTAGGAAAATAGGAAAGATACCTTATACTTGTACCTAAAACACTTTTCGTAGTCCATCCATTTAATGAATTGTGGGAATGGTTTTATCATTCAAGCATGTAGTCAATAAAATGGTTCTGAATGAAATCCCTGCCCCTCCTCGTACCAGTACTTGTAAGACACAATTTTCAGAATTCTTTGTCCACACTGGATTTCAAACGAGCAGAATTTTCTTATCTTAAAACAATTCTCTAGAGAAGATGCAAGTAAATGAGTGAGGGTTTTTTCTCGAATACCAGATGATAGGAAGAGAAGTACAACTTCTGTATCCCATCTTGTAAGGTTTTAACATTCAAAATCTTCCCTTTGGATAGACACATTATGTTCACATAAAAAGAAGTTTATGAAATGCTTCTAAGGCTTACTGTTCATTAAAAGTCTTATGGAAAAGAAGTGGTAACTGTGAACTGAAAACCTGATAGACTAAATGCATTCTCTAGTCTAGAAACATGAGCTCTGAAATTGTATAAATCACTGGAAGAAGCATTCTATTAGTTTGTTGCATGTTAATTTATAACGTGTCAAAAATGCTTAAGCAAAAAGGTTTAGTCCCGAAAGAAATGGATAAATTACTAAAACATCTCGATGTTCTTGGTAAATGCAGCCCTTGACACCAAACAAAGCTGCATTTAAACTGAGAATTTCCTAAACAGCACTTTGCAATTTATTTAAACAAAGAAATATAATTGATTGATAAATGCAAATATCCCAAGAAAGTGCTCAAAAGACAGAAAATTGAGAGACATTGAAATTGCTTTTCTACAATGGTTTCAAGCTATAAAGCTAAAAATATTTCTATTTCTACAGCTTTCTCACTAATTCACAACATGATAAGAAAGAAATTTATCTAGTGACATAGGACTACAAGTTGGAGAAACAGAAATCCAATATTATTCATAAGAAATTGTATGGTCAGAAGAATGAAGTGGATCATCATACAGGTCATAATCATTAGTTAATAGATGTGTTACTTGGATTGCTAAGTTAATAGAAGGCCATACAAAATTTATAATGAGGATGAAACTGGCTGTGTTACAGAAGATTACTAGAACACACATAAATTTTTTAAGTTGGAATGAAGATGATTTAAAAAAACTAAATAAGTTACTGAATTAATAATGGGCAATATAAACCCAACAATTAAGAAGACAACATCAGTTATTGACAAAAGCAGAAAACATATATGTTTGCAAGTAGCCAAAAATTTACGTCTCACTTGCCATAGCAATAAGAACGCATGGATGACATATACTATTATTGGGCATCCTCAAAATCCCTGAACAACTTTAGCCTGTTACTGTGATCCTGTAAGAAGTAGTGCTGCAAATATTTTAGTGTTATTGCACATATATCAAAACTTTTCCCAAAAATTTGTTTTAGTTTAATATACTTAAAAATAATGTAAGGATCTTCTTTTTCTTCTTCTTCGTAAGCTCCACAGCCTGTTACAGGCCAAGGCTGTCTCTCCAAGATTCCTCAACTTGACCCCATTTGGTAAAATAGCCCTGCATTAGTTAACTCAAATTAACCTTAAATCCTCCTCAACACCATCTATCCATCTAGTGCAGGAATCCTCAACCTTTTTGTCCCTAAGAGCACATTTTAGAATATCTGCTGGATGGCGGGCACCATTTACTTTTCAAGGTGAATTTATAGTGGACAGAGTTAATAACACATGCACATAGAAAAAGAGATTGGTCGCATTTCACTTTGTGCTGGTGTATGTGTTGGATGCAATTTCTATTTCATTAAAAATGAGAAAACATTCATATAGAATTTTATTGAAAACTAAGACATTTTTATTGTGATTGCACAGCGTCGGGCACATGTTAAATGATCAGCAGGCGCCGTGATGCCCGCGAGATTAGGGTTGAGAACCCCTGATCTAGTGGTTGGTCTTCGTCTTACTCCCTCAATTCTTGAAAAAGTTATCTTTTTGGTTGGAAATGCATCATCATATCTAAACACACACACATTGGCCCATGTGTTAGATATCATCATATCTGACACATGGCCCAGCCATCTGATATGAAATGCTTTTACAATTCTCACAATAACAGTTTCAGTATATTTCCTATATTTTCCATATAGTTCATGATTACAGAGAATCCTCCAAATGCCATTTTGTTGTACATTAGAAGTCCAGAAATCCGCAAAACTTGGAAAAAGAGGTTGTGCAGATTTTAGGATTTTGCGAATTTCAGGACAGAAAAGATAAATCAGAATATTCAGACTAAAAGTGCAAAATAAATAAGACATATTAGATACATTTAATTAAATTATTAAATACATTATTGCAATAACTTATTATATGCATTAAATTAATATTACATATATAAATTGATTATATTATTCGTTGTATTATATGTACACAGCATCGAGGTTTGCCGATTTCGCCTCCTGCAAAGATTTCCGGTTTTGGATTCCGGTGTTAGAATCACTGTTGCTGTAAAATTTCAACAGCTTTCCTTTATTTTTTCGTATATTATAAACAATCGTGTCGAAATCCCATATGATTCTGCTATAAACTGAGGAGTAGCACCTGCCTCCATCTTTTGCAGAATTTGCACTTTTTGTATTACCATCAGTGCAATGTGTTTACGTTTTCCAATGTTGCAAACAGTAAAATGAGTACGTTTCTTATCTGTAATTGTATTAAAAAGGGCTTAAATTTAAAATAGTCTTAAGTTATCTACAGTATATCCAGGTAAAAAAAAAAGCAGAACAAAATAATCTCGTGAAATAACAAAGCTCAGAAAATACAACAACGTGAATCGTGAACTTGAAAAAAGAGTTGAGTGAATTGTCTGCTTTTTTACCTTGATGCAGATTAGAGGGGGGAAAACTTATCATGATGTCAATAATTTGGTATTTCCATGATGACTCATTATTATTCGGTAAGTATTTTTTTTTGATATTTTATACTCAATGTTGCAGTTTTCCGAACTTATAAACTGAATGTTTGTATTTTGAAAGGCATTGCGGATTTCAGGTCGGTGGATTTTCGGTATTTGACTACTGCTCCAAAGATCTTTTTTAGGATTTTTCTTTCAAAATTTGATATCAGGTCTTTCTCTGCTCTGTTTAAGTATCCAACATTCACTTCCGTAAAGGGCAACAGGCCTTATTAAAGTTTTAAATAAATTTAATTTAGTTTTTATGTTCATTAGGTTGGATTTAAATTGTTTTTTAAGGCTGTAGTAACATCTATTAGCCATAAACATTCTATTTTTTATTTCAATTTTTATATTGTTGCAATTTGTGATCAATGTGCCCAGATATTTAAAATGTTTTACGGTTTCAAAGGTTTAACTGTTTATCTTCAAGGTGGATAAATGAAGTTTTATTAGGTAAAATCATAAATTTATTTTCATCCTCATTTATGATTAGGCCCATCTTCCTTGCTGAATTTTCAAGCAAGACAAATGCCTTGATCACAGCTCGTTTTGATAGCCCAATGATATCAATATCATTATCAAAAGCCAGCAGTTGAACGGTGCTGTGCAAGATGGGTCCACTTACGTTTATTCCAGAGTCTCTTATGGCCTTTTCTAGAGCTACATTAAACAACTTTCTACTTTTAAAACTTTTTTAGAGCTATATCAATATAGCGAGTCTCCCTGTCTTAATCCTTTCTCAGTGTAAAAAGGTTTTGAAAGATATATTGAAATTTTCATTCTACATATCACCTTTTCAACAGTCATGCTCATGAAGCTTATCAGTTTCTTCGGGATATTAAATTCCAACATCGCTTGAGTAGTTTTTCTCTGTTAATATTCTCATAGGCAGCTTTAAAGTCAACAAACAGGTGGTAGGTGTTGATGTTACATTCTTTAGTTCTTTCCAAGATTTGCCTAATAGAATGCAATTATCAGTTGTTCTTCCCTTTTGGAATACACACTGGTCATTCCCAATAACATTAGAAGTATTTATAAGCAATCTTTTATACAAGATAATGGAGAAGATTTTATATACTAAATTCAGTAAGGTAATTCCTCAGTAATTACAACTTTCTAGCTCGTCTCCTTTTTTATAAATAGGACAAACAGATCCTTCTTCCCACTAAGTGGGCATTTGTTCCTGTGTTAATATACAACAAATTAGATAATGGATTGCTTTATTTCAATTTGTTTCATTGATATTTAAAAGCTACTCCTTGATGCCATCTGGTCCACCTGATTTATTACTAGAGTAGAAGTCCAGAAATCCGCAACGTTTGGGACCAGAGGTTGTGCGGATTTTAGGATTTTGCAGATTTCAGGACAGAAAAGATAATATTCAGACTAAAATTGCAAAATAAATAAGGCGTAATAGATACATTTAATTAAATTATTATTACATTAATACAATAATTAATTATATGCATTAAATTAGTATTACATATATAAACTGATTATATTATATTGTTCATTTACATTAGGCTCCTATTTTTAAATCAGCATGAAATCTGCTTCCCCTTTTCTCTCAGGAGTAGTCCTGAAATAGGTACCTCACCACTCCGCCGCTGCCGGAACCACTCGTACAAGACAGCATCGAGGTTTGCCGATTTCACCTCACGTAAAGATTTCTGGTTTCGATTCCGGTGTTAGAATCACTGTTTGCTGCAAAATTTCAACAGCTTTTCTTTATTGTTCCCTATATCATACATAGTCTGTATGGCAATTCCATACGATTCTGCTATAAACCGAGCAGTAGCACCTGCCTCTATCTTTAGCAGAATTTCCACTTTTTTTCATTACCATCAATGCACCATATTTACATTTTTCAACATTGCAAGCAGTAAAATCATGAGTGAAATTATCTGTCGTATTAAAAAGTGCTGAAATTAAAAATATTCTTAATTTATCCACGAAAAATCGGGATAAAAAAACGACATCACTAAACAATCTTGTGAAGCTCAGAAAGTACAACAATGTGAAGCGTGAACTTGAAAGAAGAGTTGAGTTAATCGTCTGCTTTTTTACCTTGATGCAGATTAGAGGGAAAGAGACTTTTATCATGATGTCAATAATTTGATATTTCTGGTATGACTCATTATTATTCGGTAATTATGACGTCATTATCAAGTAAGTATTTTTTCTTCGATATTTTGTACTTCATGTTGTGGTTTCCACAACTTATAAACTAAATGTTTATATTTTGAGAGGCAACGTGGATTTCAGGTCGGCGGATTTTCGGTAATTGGCTGTATTTAACTTTTCGATTGCCAGTTCAACATCATATAGAGTTGGTGGATTATGCTCCATAACCTTACCTTCACAACTCGTAGAGGGTAACATGTTATAAGTAGTTATCTTCTCTTTCCTATTTCTATCCAAAAGCAGACCCTTAAAATACTCACGCCAACAGCCCAGAACCTCCTCTATGTCTCTGGTGATTTCTCCATTTTTTCCACCTACAAATTTGAGGATCAAGGGCTCTGAAAATCATCATGTCACAAGGAAGTTGAAGCAGGACATTCAAAAGTGAATGTTTGGTATGGGATGCTGCATGACAAGATTTTAGAAAAATTTTTCTTCCAATGAACAAACAATAGCGTTAAAGTTTAAATTTGCCTACAGCTAAACGACCGTAAACAAGATGTCATTTTCTTATCACATGTCAAGGTTGTGTAACTTCAGCGACTAGTTATAAAAGCTTTGAATCTTGCTTGTGAAAGTGTGACAGTACTGAAGGTATAAACTGTTTTATTCCCAAGCAACAATAAAATCCTTCAGACATGGGTTATTCTCAGATGTCCTTTTTCTTTCATGACATGTGGATGACACCTTGGCATCTACTGCTGGTTTCACCATCATTTACCCACTTTGCACAAATACAAACCACAGCAGATCATGAACAACCTCCAAGTCATGCATTTTCGGAAATACTCGTTCTGAGTCTTCAGACTATTATAATCTGCCCTCTATCAAATTTGCTTAGATCAGCAACTTTTCCCATCACTTACAAAAGTAAGTTCAAGAATGATTCCTTACCTTCTCCAGCAGCAGTTAAATAACATTCACACTTAATCATGTGCTCTCCATGTCATCCAGATGAGTTCACTGAAAAATGTGGAGTTGGTCATAATGTTTTGGCTCATAAGTGTATGATGTATAAGTGTTGCAAGGTACAAGAAAGGTCAATAAGGAACTGGGATATTTTCTTGCATTCTTGTAGAAAAGAGCTTTCACACTGCTGAATTTGTTTCTGATGGTGAAAATTGACTAGCAACACTTCCCCCTAGAATGTTCCACACATGTTCTACTGGGTTCATCTCTGAGGAACATGCTGGTCATTCTATTTGAAGGATTCCTTTTTTGAAAAGAAAATTGTTCAACAGCTGAACCCGATGTGGTCTCGCATTATCGTCTATCAGAATGAATTTATCCCTAATTGTTGCAGCATAAAGGACCACAATATGTCTAAGGATTTCATCCTTAAATATTGCTCAGCCATTGGTGCTCCATTCCTAATAATATGTAGGTCAGCACTCAGCACGGTCACTGATAGAAATACCGGCCAAGACCATCACTCTGCCTCCTCCAAATTGGACACTTTCATGCACAAATGCAGAAGTATTCCATGTACCAGGTCTACAGATGATGATTTGCCTATTGCCAAGTTGTACATGAAAGCAGAACTCGTCTGTGAAAAGCACATTGCTTCACTCATCTTGTCTCCCATATGCACCTGTGCCCACCTTCTGCTGGCAGCACCGTGGTCCTGTGTCAACAAAAAACAAGCCATAGGTCTCTGAGTATACAAACAATCAGTAGTTTTGGAATCGTTTTGAACAGTCCGAGTTGAAACGTTGGTACCAATAGCCCTCTAAAGGTGCTGGTGCAAGAAAGTGGCATTCATAGTGTGGTTTCTTCTGGCTATTAGTGTTAAATACCGATCCTCATTTTGTGTTGTTGTAGACATACAACTTTGTGCTGATCTTGGGCGAACATTTCCAGTTTCCAAAAATCGATTCCAAGCCTGAAAATGACACTTTGAGAAAGTGCTAACACTTCTGCCACTGTGGATTGCATCTGACCTGCCTCTGAACGACTGATGGCTATCCAGGCAACCAATCAGCTTAATTATCTTGCTGAGTCATTGCATTCACTGTTATACAACATTCAACGCATGTCAGTTGTTTCTAATCAGCTCCTACAGGAAGAATGCTGAAAATCATTTTTCATTCCTAAACTAAAATGCAGCTTTCAATGTCACAGACAAAATTTGCATATTCCCATATCTGTAAACATTATAATTTTCTTTTTAATCTCTTCTCTTTCATTTTTATTTAAAAACTTCTCGATTATATGGTTATTTCAAACTCCCAATGTACCTTAACTGTTTTGAGCAGTGTGTAGTTAGCTAGATTGTTCAACTGAAGGGAATAGCATATGACAGCAAACTACTGGTATATCATTACTTTAACCATTCATGTTTAGTTCTTGTTTCTTTCATATGCAGAAAGTTAATTTTAGTTTATTATTTTAAATTTCAATTTTAATGAAAAATTTTGATGTGAAGCCAAGCATAAAACAATGCAATAAGAATCTATTCAACACTAATATTTATCTGAAAACCATCTACCAATATCAATATAATCAATAAGAACATTAATAAGAAATAAACTGTACAAAATAATACACTATTGATAATGAAATAATTTTAATAGACGTATAGAAAACCATCAGAATATTGTTACTAATCAAACAGCTACTCTAAGAAAATTTAATTTAAATATAAATTTGACAAAAAATAGATAATGAAAAATAAGTTTTTGTAACAACATCTTACCTTAGCAACAGTTCGTTCTCTTTCCTGTATTCTTTTCTCAATTTCCCACAGCTCTTCTTTCAAAATACTGGTATTTGGATTCTTATCTGATGCATATTCACTTATCTAGAATAATTTCAGATTGAAAAAGATTTGTGTCATTACAACTCATATGCAGGAAAAATATCATGTGATTCTAGTTCTTCAAAATATTTTACTGGAACACTTCAAAGCATTTTACTGGAATAAATTTAAATAAAAACATTGAGTAAAAATATTTTACAAGGTGTTCCAGAAATAGGTGTGATAACATTACATGGGTATTCAGTAGGTTAAAGAAAATAAAATGCCAGTGGAATGATTTCAATGGACTGTTTCATTCAAGAGAAGAAACTTTAAAATCTTTTAATGCCACTACCAGTTAGACAAATGAAGGTACAGGGTGAAGTATTTGTAGGCCTGCAGAGTCCAATAAGATGTAGAGTAATCATCAATCATTTGATGTCAAAGCAAGCAATATTGCATCAGAGGAATATGGACTACCTGACACATTCACAGATGACATGCATCATCCAGTATGTTATGCTCCTATCAGATGAAATCAATGGATTCAAATCTGGTGATCTACTGATACACAGAATATCTCCAAGAATAAGTAATAGGTATCCCTTTGTTTTGCTATACAGAAATTACATCATAGAATTCTGAAATTGCATAATTATAGAGCAAAGCTGTACACTGAAACCATTCCAATGGCAATGACTCCAGAGAAAGAAAAAAAAAAAAAAAAAAAAAAAAAAAAAAGGGGGGGGGAAGCAGAATAAAAAAAAAAAAAAAAAAAAAAAAAAGCTTTTGATTAGAGCATTTTGGAAACAAACAAAAACAAAATGAGACAGCGAGAAGAAAATGATGGAACTTCATTTGGTTTTTGTTCCAACTTTTAATTGAACTCGATTTTTGAGAGTTTTGATTCTGCGGCAGTTGGATATATATTGTTTAAATGATTATTGTTTTAAACGAACAATGTAAATAATAGTCTGTCTGCATAATACTAAAAAAAAAACTAGTTATGACTGATTATATCCGAGTATTCTAACTTTAATTAGCAACAGCCCTTTGCTCCATTTCAATGAGGTTATTTCCTTTTTCCCTCCTAAATAGCAAATGCTTGCAACAAATTTCTTTAAATGGCATCATTTCAAAATCTGTCTATGTCATATGGTTCTTGGATAATGTTCATGACAAATATACTTCCTTACAAAATTACTTGACAAAATTACTTGAAATTAATGTTTCAGTCAATGATGGCTCAGAAACATAAAATCAACCACTCAAAATAAAGCTAAACCAAAATTAAATTATTTTGAATCATGGTTTTATCTCAGACATATTACATTCTCTCTCTTGCTTCTATCCTGCCAACCTCTTTGCTCTTCGCTGTCATACTTTTTTTAAATTCCATCAAAATTAATTCTTATGAAGATGTAGAAAAGATTTAAATGTGATCCAGAACAGGCTTGCAGATTGTGAACATTGCACTGTGTAATTCAAGTTATGAATGTTTTTCTCAACAATAAAAAATTTAAATCTGCATGACTGCTAACACCTTTCATTCAACTACTTTATGCATCTCTTTGCTAACAACTTCTAAATTACTACCTTTTCCTCCCTTTTGACTAAAAATGTTTTTCCTGATTTGAGTTTCCTTTTTTTTCTGATGAACATATTCACTAAATTTTGTGACATCATGTACATACATATATATATAAAGGTGAAGCAGTTATTTTAGAAGAAACTGAAGTATTTAAGGTAAGGAATCGAGTCATCTAAAAAAAAAATGATCAAATGATGAACTGGATGCACTACTAAAAACACATAAACAGACCTAAGCTGAAAGAAAATGTAGTTTTGGGAAAGGCAAAGTAATAAGGCAAAATCTCACACTTCAATATACCCCAAAAAGCTAAATGTCCTTTGTAATTACATAAGTTACAAAAATAAAAAAAAATAAAAACAAGAACATGAAATGGAAGACTAAGGTAGTACAATGGAGCACGATGACATCACCAGGTTGAAAAAAGATAAAGAATGAAATGTTGCAAAAGCCTTCATTAGATAAAAGGCACATGTTCAGCTACATTTGCCATATTAGTGCATTTCCATTTCTACTCCAATAAACACACAAAATATTGAATTAATTAAAAAATCTCAACACTTTAATGAGTACGAAGAAAAACCATTTCCAATTTAGCACAGAAAGATTGAAACAAAAATGAAAGAGTGCAAAAAATGAATATATTGTCAGCATGCGCTTAATCTAAATGAAGAATTTTATTCTTCCTTTCCTCAGTTTTAGTTAATTTCAATATCTACTATGAACTTAATCTCAGGATTAGGCCTAAGATAACAGTGGTTAAGAATCTCACCAAGAGGTACTGGATGTATGGTCTTGAATATCTACAAATGTGATTCAGACACCAGTTATTGAATGTGGGTTAAATTGTCAGTCTTCATTGCCCCTTACCTAATAGGTCACTGCCAGGTTTGGAGCTTCCAGACACATTAAAGTTTCCTTTGCTAAGTCTTTCGCCCTATTAAATAGTTTCAGCATTCGAAAATTTGTGTCCTTTTATGCAAGCACTTGTGAAAAGTGACTTTTGTATTTTAGTATTTTGCTTCTAGTTCATTGTTTCCCTTTTTAATCTCTTCTCTTTCATTTTTATTTAAAAACATCTCGATTATATGGTTATTTCAAACTCCCAATGTACCTTAACTGTTTTGAGCAGTGTGTATTTAGCTAGCTTGTTCAACTGAAGGGAATAGCATATGAGAGCAAACTACTGATATATCATCACTTTAACCATTCATGTTTAGTTCTTGTTTCTTTCATATGCAGAAAGTTAATTTTAGTTTATTATTTTAAATTTCAATTTGAATGAAAAATTTTAATGTGAAGCCAAGCATAAAACAATGCAATAAGAATCTATTCAACACTAATATTTATCTGAAAACCATCTACCAATAATCAATATAATCCAATAAGAACATTAATAAGAAATAAACTGTATAAAATAATGCACTATTGATAATAAAATAATTTTAATAGACATATAGAAAACCATCAGAGTATTGTTACTAATCAAACAGCTACTCTAAGAAAATTTTATTTAAATATAAATTTGACAAAAAATAGATAATGAAAAATAAGCTTTTGTAACAACATCTTACCTTAGCAAGTATTAACATCTTACCTTTTTAGTATAATTATTTTAACTAATAAATATTGAATTTTTTTAGCATAAATCCAGTAAGTTCCTAAAATACTTTGGTAAATACTAAATTAAGAACGATATGGTTTTTTTTTTCTCAATGTAACATTATGCAATACCTTTCCAAATCTACACAGATAATACAATAAGATCCACAGGATGTAAGAACACAGATAATATAAGAAAAACTTCCCCAAAAAAGAAATCAAAAGGATAAAAAGGAACATTATTGAAAAAATAGCATGGAGCACAATGTGACAGAAGGCCGAAACACCCATGTGACAGGTTGCCAAGCAAGAAACTTCCAGCCTTTAGTAGGGGGTATGATCTCCTCTGACAATTGTGCAGGTTTTACATCGTCTGTCCACGCTGAGTATAAGGATGTCAATGAATTATTAAGGCATTGCTGCCCATTCTTCTAGTAGTGGCAATTGCAGCTCTGGAATCATTACTGGCAATAATTGCATGTTGCTATGCATCTCCCTAGAAAATCCCATACATGCTTGATAGGATTTAGATCTGGAGACCTTGCCCGCCAATCCATGCACGCAATATCTTTACTTTCCAACAGCTCTTTGACAGCAATTATGCTATGAGGTGGAGTGTTGTCGTCCATGAACTAAACCCCTTCACAAATTTTAGGAATGTGGACTATAACAACAAAAGAAAGCAGGTGTGTCGTAAATGTAATTTTTCTCCAGGTTAACTGATGTTCCTCCATGTCATGTTCAAACACCTACTAGTGAGGGCCAACAAAGGATTAATTGACAGTATTGATGTTGGCCAGGATCACACATTTCACCCTTGGATGCTAACGAATGTATCCTAAAATGTGTTTTTAAGTCAAAGGTTTGAAACTTGAAGGCTAAATATAAATCTAAAAGTATGCATGTTAAAATATTTGTAATTAGGCACACAGTTCAGTTAAGTTTTTATTAAATAGAGTAAGGCATGCAAGGGTTATCTGCCTAAAGTAAGAGATGCCATCGTGGAGGAATTTCAAAGAAAAACTGACCTTTGAGTGGTTATTAAAAATAATGCATGTAATTTTTATTCAAATTATATTTATACATATTTCTTATGTATTTTCTTAAAAATGCATGTTCATATTTCTTATTCAAATTATATTTATGCATATTTCATATGTATACGCTAAATTATTATAAATTACTCAAAAAATATAGTGAATGCACAGAAATTAAAGATTTGCACATGCCAGAAATGAAAAATACGAAATACGTATGGGAAATATGCATATGCTTGCAAAAAGCCTGTATCTGCCTTTAACAAAATGCTTAAATATTTATTAAATTATTCATAAATGTATTTGAAATGAAGGATTTATTCATTCATAAACTCCTGTGAAAGTTACTGTGAAGAACTCTAATTATTAAATGCATCTAAATTTATAATGATTATAAATGTTATCTAAATATATAATAACCTTAACATTGAATTGTAAACATAAATTGAAATCTTGTTGACAAATATGTTTATAAAACTATTTAAGCAAGAATTGTTCGTACTCGTCTATGAGATGCATACTTAAGGAAGTAATAAAGAAGAGTTTTAGAATATGTATTATTGAAATTAAAGGTAAAAAAATCTAATAAATATAATTAAAATAATTAGTCCATTACATTTTATAATAACTCAGTTACAAGTATTAAATAATATTTAAAAAAAATCTTTTTTTATTCCCTTTCAGAAATATTCAGAAAAATTCAAAGTTAAGTACATGGAAATAAGCACCAATATTTAACGTACTTTGCTATTACAATACAAGGAAATTAATTAGAAATGGACTGAATAGAGCATTAATTATAAATTGACTTAGACTTTCCGATTTAAAAATGCCTTAAAAGCTAAAAAATCATGTCATATTTGAGAAAATATTTTAGAAAGATCTATAAATAGAAAAGAAAGAATGCAGAATTTTAATATTAATAAAACAATAAACTTTTATCTTAATTTTTGTAACCCTTAACCAAATAAAATCGAATTATCTTAAATTTGTTTCTAATTAACAACTTGTGAAAATATTTCATTCAAACTAAACCCTTCCGAGCAAACTGTTCTGTGAAAAGTATAGCATTAATTCTGTTCAGAATGAAATGTTTAAAAATGTATTCTTTTCACATAAAAATACATTTTCATTCAAGACTCTGAAATATTGTAAAAAAAAGAAAAAATATATATATTTATATGTATATTTACGATGTAATTACAAAATATTTACATCCGATCGTGTCAAAACCATTGATCTTAATGGTAAGACACTAAATGTTTTGGTCACCACGAATGCATCACCAGTGCTTCATAGCAGTGTATGGGGGAAACCGGTCATGGCCTCTCCTTCTTACTTCTTACCTCCATGGATTTTCCCCCATTATTCCATGGACATTTATGATTTATTTGTGAACACATTCTTTAATTTATTACTTTGCCATAATCAGTTCCAAAAGAATTTTGACACAAGTAATTTATAGCATATGCCTACAACCAAAGTTGAGGAAATAAAGGCTGGGTAAAGACTTGCGGACACAGCATGTTCGTCTCTCTCTTTATATATGAGAATGAAACTAAATACAAAGAATACATATTTGCACAATTTGAGCAACATGTTTCTCTCTCTTTATATATGAGAATGAAACTAAATACAAAGAATACATATTTGCACAATTTGAGCAGCATTTATTTAATTAAATAATCTTCAGTTTTCTCTCCTTGTATACATATATGTAGTTCTCAGACACTAAAAATCTATTATTTTCATTTTAGTTTTATCACTTTAGGATCATAATATGTTAGTAATACAAAAATTTATTAAATTAGAAATATATTTAATTTATGCACATAATGTCACAAATAGCCTACATGCTAATGCTGAAGGCTGGCAGTGTTTTCTTTATGCTGATGAATATGCTGATGAACTTTATGCTGATCAATAGTTTTCATGACAATTGGCATAGAAATACTTGTTACTAAAATCTATGAACATCCGAAACCTTTTTTCTAAACCGATGATTTATTTTTAGTTACATACAATCATTTCGCTGTTCAGCTTGTGTATAGCCTGAGTATGATTTCCATATTTAAAATAAAATATCTTGGTCATTTTTGAATGCACAGGAGTTACCATTTTTGTGTTTTATTTTTTTATAATGACAACAAAATTTTCCTAAATATAAGGATCAAGGAAAACTATAAAAAGTTAGATTCTGTAACTTTTATAAAATTAATATTTTTCAAATTTAAAAATGCCAAAACATGACTATTTGCATGATTTAAACATTTTTGTAATTGGAAGTATGGACAAACCAATATTGTGAATATAAAGTCTGGGTAGAGACGTTTATGGACTCAAGAGTGTGTGTGTGCATGTGTACATATATGAAATAAAAATGCAAGAAAAAGACAGGAGCACTGAGGATGCGTAATACCCAGATAGGATAAGATCATCAATCCATACTGAAGATGAAGCATTCCGATTGCGTAGTATATGTTGAGTTCGTAATATGTTGAGTTTGTAATATCTAAAAACTTGGCAGTCGAGACAGTTTTAATTCCACTTTTATTTGCAATTGATATTTGTGGCCGCAGTTCGCTTGGTACTCTAACCATGCCTATTCAAGAACATTTACATTTTTGATACTATTGCAATAGGAAGTAGCATAGTGAAATTACGTCCAAGCAGAGCAGAGAAAGAAGCTGAAGTGCGTAGTTAAGCAAGATGGAAGCACATGAAGAGAAAGGTTTTGGTTTGAGTTTAAAGTTTCAGCTCCTAATTATTATATCATCAATGCAGTGCAAGAAGGAATGATCTAAAAATGACGCAATCGAGAGAAGTTATTATGATTTTTAGAATCGAGAGGAATAATTAAAGAGTTTACCGTTACTTTAAATTATAATTTTGATTCACATATTTTTAATCTTACACACACACAAATATATATAAATGACATACGATATAAATAATATATGTCGTAAATAAAAGCATAACAAGGAAAAGCCGGAGCAGTGTTGATGCGTGCCTAGATCCATATTGAAGAAGAATTTTTGATTGCGTAGTATTTAAAAAGCTTGGTGGTCGAGGCAGTTTTAATTCCATTTTTATTTCCAATTGATATTTGTGGCCACAATCACTTGGCACTCTAGTTGTGCCTTTCCACAGAAGATTTACATTTTTGATATTGTTGGGATAGAAAGCAAGCCAGCGAAATTACATCTTAGCACAGTAGAGAGCAAAAAGCTGAAGTGCATAGTTATGAAAGATGGAAGCACGCAAAGAGAAAAGTTTTGGTTTACAATGACAGTTTCAGTTCTTAATTATTACGTCATCGGAGTTGCGTGGACCATAGAGTGATCTAGAAATGACGCAATGCAGAGAAGTTATTACGATTTTAGAATAGAGAGGAAGAATTTATGTTTATAGTTATATTATAATTCTGATTCATATATTTTTATCTTACATATATATATTTGCGCAACAAAATAAATGCTATTAATTAATTAAATAAATGTTAATTAGTTTTCTCTCCCTATATACATATAGCAGTTCTCGCACTCAAAAATGGAAATGTTATTTAACAGATACATCATGTGCCATGAGCATACGTTTTCACTGCCTTAAACCAGCATGCTTGTAGAGAATATTTACACAAGATGAAGCTGTGGTGGCAATACTGCCACTCATGACCTCCTGGAGAGTTTTAAAAGACCAGTTATTTTGGAATGGGGCTCCAGTATAGAGATAAAAGTCCCTTTGTTAGAAGCATAATTTTCAGTACAAATCCTACCTTAGTTGAGAAGAGATTGGGCTAAAAATTAACACCAATTATTTATGACTGCATACTATTTTCCTGCAAGAGAACTTTTGGGAAGCAATCCTAAATATCTGTTGAAGCAGATGCTAAGATGAATTGCAAGAATCTCCACACAAAATGAGCAGATGGAAATAACTCAGCACAACAGATTTTTGTCACTTCGTGATGAGGTGACTGACAAGTGAAGTAAGATACATAACAAAAGAAAAAGTCCCCCCCCCCAATTGTGAGAATATAAACTGATGTCAACTAGGAACTTCTACCAAACTGCAAGGAAGACTTTGAAAACAAAGTAAAAAGATAGTCAGTTTTCATACATGCACAGAATTACAACCACTTCAACAGAATACAGGAAATATTAAGAACCATGAATACCATATATCATACCAGATGAAAAATGAGAAGACAGTCAAAGCAATCTTGAAAAACATCCCTCACTCAACTGTGGGGTGGGGAATTAAGAATGATTTAACCCAAAAAAACTTTCCTATCCTGTAAGTGAAACAAGTCACAGGGGAAAATGAAGACACCACAGAAAAAGTTTTGATTTATTTCCTCAAATAGAAAAGAAGCCGAAATGGCCGTGTACAATACAAACATCACGAGCATAAATGTACAAACTGAAAAATTCAAGCCAAGCGGACTCAACCGAGTGCTATAAATGCCTGTAGTTTTCCTACACTTAATCTTTATGCTTGAATATCACATGCTGTGTGATTTGTGGGAAAAATTAGAGAAGCTGAGAATGGCCATTAAAAAAAAAAAAAAAAGAGGAAACTAACCTCCATTTTTGCAGTAGACTACACATTACCAGTTAGTTTGGATTTCCATAAGACCTAAAGAACTTAATACAACCTCAAAGAAAATCAGAGCAGAAGACAGCAAATCCTATACAGAAGAGCAACGAAAATTTTCTTGAATTAATGAAAAACTGAAGCTACCTCAGCCTGCCAAATCTAAAGGAAATACAGTGAAATCCTAAGAAATACTAATTCCATAGAAAATTTAAATGAAGAAAGGCTGTCTGATACAAACCGAATTACCATGATCAGAGATATTACATCAATCCTTAATGAAAGCCAAATCTCCTGCAGAAATACTGATAATTATTCTCAAAAGTACTGAAATATTTCTGAATTAGACTGCTTCAGATTAAATGAAGATTGTCTCCAGCTTGGCAGCAAAATGGAAAATTATTTACTTTAACCATTGATTGGAGTCGGAGAAATAAACACTTCTCATGTCGCTAGATGGCAGAATAAGGTTAGCAAAAATTTTTTACCATTGGCACAAGCACTTTATTAAAATTGCTTTAATACTACCTTAAAGCCAACACCTTAAGATAGTGGGTTAAAACTTAATCGATTACATGCCCACAGCACCTTCACATTCCATGCTACACCAGTTATCAATTAGTGAAAAAATTTTATGAAATATGATCAGATAAGCTATCAAATGGAAGACTCAAGATTACAGCACCGAAGGCTAAAAATGACATCTAGCAATATATTCCAAACTCTACTCTTTAAAGATATTGAATCATTCACTACTGATTGTATAATACAAGCCAAGAATTCATCCTTTTCAAATCTGCAGTTTATGAATATGAGAATTCTTGAGCCATTTCTTGTTTAAACAAAACTTGAAATTATTCATATTACCTGAAGAGATTTTAAACTTTAATATTTCAACTGATTTTTAAATTCATTCTATCTCCTTATTTTTGGATCACACGTGCTTGAACTATGGAACAATACAGTGTGTTATTCAAAATTTCTGTGACAGAAAAATTTCACGTTACTACAAACATGCATATAGACACATTTCTATTCTTCCAATATGTTAAAGAAAGCATTTAAAACAGAAGCATATATTCTTGGACAGAATACTAACCTGTAATTCATATACACTGGTACCAATGCAGTCCTCAGTAGATTTAAAGCCTTTCATGCTGTTTATGCTGAAATAGTACATTGGAACTTAGATGTCACGCAAAAAGCAATAATACAGACAACTGATTGGTAAATGAAACAAAATATAGCTAACTATATAGTTTTTTAAAACATGCTGTAATAACTAATTCTATGAATATATATATATAATTTAATTTCTTTTTACAATTGAAATTTTGTTATTCATGATTTAATTCAAGTCCCCATTAAACATTTTTAACAATTTACATTCAAGTTACTTTAAAACATTTTCGGAATTAAACTTATTAACTATGGATTCACTTTTTTTAGATAATTCTACTAAAATTAATCTTAGGAGATAATATAATCAATATTTCTTTAGTACATAAATTATTATTAACTTACTTTGCAGCTATTGCGCAAGTAGTAGAATAACTCGATTTCGCACTAAGTGAATTTAAGATATATATATATATATATAAACAAGCCTATAGAAAGTTCTGTCTTTTTTCTTCCCATATCATCTGTAGTTAGTTAAAAAAAAAAAAAGAAATAAAAGAGAAGAAGCAATAATTTGATCGTACAATATTTCTTATTCATCAAAGTAGGTTTCAGCATATAAAAAAAAAAAAAAAAAAAAGAAAAGAAAAGAAAAAATCTTGTACCATGCAAAGCAGAACAGTGATTCCTTTTTTTGTAGAATTCTTTTGACTTTGACAGTATATAGTAAACAAACCTTTGGAAGACTTTTGCTTACAGATGTCCTACAACTGCATACTGTTTGTCATATTCGAGAAATTAAAATCTTTTAAGGGATATTATAAAATATTATGGGTGAGCCAGAACCACCCAGCTGAACTATAATGCTCGGCTCCACTGGGTGAGAACAGTGTTCTTCATAGTTCAGATTGTGGCTCTGTTCCATTCATAGAAATGAACACGCGACTGCCAAGTTTTGTCTATGCTCTATATTGTGCTTCATGAATACAGCTGCAGCTTTGGCCATAATCAAGATTTTAAAATTAATCATACAGTACAACAACCAAAAAACGTAATCTTCTTCTACTTACTGATTTTGGGATTTTGTTAAGGAACTTTTTACATGTTAAGGGTTTGACAAGATATTGAATAACCAGTCCAAATGAACAGAATGAATTTTTATTTTAGCTTCCGGCATTAACAAAACTTACAGCTCGATGACAATGATTTACATGAGTATCCCAATGGATTTTAAACCATCTTTAGAAAATATATGTCCCATATATTTCACTTCATTCAGCCCAAATTTACATTTATTTAAATTAAATTTAACATTCTTTTCTCTGGCTCTGTCCAACAACTTCTTTAATCTTGAATCATGTTCTTTTTTTATCTTTACCCCAAACTAATATGTCATCTATATATATTTGAACTCCTTCTAAATCACTAAAAAGTTTCAGAAAAACTTCTGTGGAAAACTTCTGGTGATGAACTCAGTCCATATGGACAACCTCAAAAAACAATATGTACCAAACGGAGTGTTAAATGTAGTAAATTCACGAACTTGAATCTGACAGTTTAATTTGCCAAAATGCTTTGTTTGCATCTAAAATAAAAAGGCCTTTGCATTTGTCATTTGAGATGAAATTTCTTCAAAGGTTGGTATGTGATAATGTTCTCTCAGTATATTTTGGTTAAGGTGCTGAGGATCTAAACACACTCTTAAAATACCATCCTTTTTCTTTACTACCAATAATGAATTCGTGAATTCTGTTGGTTGCTTAACTTTCTTTATAATACCATCATTTTCCATTCTTGCTAATTCCTTTTTTAATGGATTTAATAAGCTAAGTGGAATTTTCCCACAGGGTTCTATTTTACCAACAGCTCCTGGTTTTAATTTAATATGATATGTATATCCAGTTTAATTTCCAGTTCCTTTTAAACAATCTTGATATTCCTTTAAAAGATTCTGGTAACTTTTCATTGGAATCAGGATTTACTGTACAAATCCTTTGTATTAAGTTTAATTTTTGCAATGTAGGTAAACCTAAATTAGCTGGAACAGTTTTATCACATGCTACGACTTGAAATTCTACTTCATCCTTGTCCCCTTTTGATGTTTCACATAATAATTTACATTTTTCGACTACATTAATTGTAGTACCATTGTAATTATTTAAAGTGACTTTTGATTTAGTCAAACATTTATCTCTTAAATTTAACTGTTGAAATTTAGGCAATGTTAACACATTAAACCGAGCTCCAGTATCCAACTTAACAAATAAATATTTAGATATGTTTATTTTTAGTTTTTCAAACCATTCTGTTTTATTTTTAGAAAATGGATTTGCATCTTCTACTGACCCTAAAATATATTCATTACCATTATTATGTAACTCATGCTCTAAATTATTCTGTACAACATTAACATTTTTATAAGTGCACATATTAGAAAAGTGATTTTTCTTTTTCCAATATAAGCAAATCTTATTATAAGCAGGACAACTGCATAACTTATGAAAAGTTCCACATTTTCTACATGGTTTTGGATGGTACTTATTTCCTTGATAGTTTGAAGAAGAATTAGTACTTTGTTGCTTTTGTTTTACATGATAGTTTTTCTTACAAGGCTGACCTTTTTTCCTGTGAAGGTAAAAAATTATTACGTTTCATCGCTTCTATTTTATTTTCTTCAGTTAAAGGTTTCAGCTGAAGTTCTGCTAATTCAGAAGCTTTACACATTTTAATACATTTTTCCAATGTTAACTGATCTTCCCTTAATAACCTATCTTTGAGATTTTTATTTAGAATTCCACTTACTATTCTATCTGTTATTAAACTATCTTTTAATTCTGCAAATCCACAGTTGCTACTTAATTTCTTTAAATCGGTTAAAAAATCATCAAATGATTCACCTACATGTTGTGTTCGACAGAAAAATATATGTCTATTAACACTTTCGTTTGCTTTTGGTATGCAAAAATTTTCTAAAGCTTCAATTACTTTGTCAACATCCTTCTTATCTTCTTCCCTTAAATTAAAAGTATTAAACTTTTCAAGTGCTTCTTCACCAATAATATGCAATAAAATAGCTACTTTAATTTCAGGTGATTTAGTAATACCACCAGACGCTAACATGTAAATTTGGAATTTTTGTTTCCATTTCTTCCAATTTTCACTTAAATTACCTTCGAAATTTAGATTACTTGGTGGCTTTAATCCATCCATATTTAAGTTAGGACTTTAAATAGTTTATATATACATATTTTTAGCCACTTCAAATAAAAATAAACAATGCATTTACCAGCGATAGAAGTTTCGATTTCACTATAAACAACTTCCCATCATGTTTTCGTTTTGAATATCTTTACCCACGCTGCATGTTTCTTCAAAAAAGATTTTCTTTTTTAATCTACAACCGACTTGACTTCGCCATGTGTTGTTTTTTTATACGTTGGGTATGTGCTCAGTGATGATTAAAAGATGTACACAATTATCGTTTATACTACATTGCTCATCTACTATTCTATATTACAGTTATGATTAAAGGTAATAATAGATACAGTTACAGTTACATATATAACAGGTTGCAGAGGACTGTTTTCTATTACACTGTAATCATGCAATCCATTAGCAGCTCATGTTCGTGCCACTGCAGGAACCGATTGTGAGATGATATGGCTTGTTGGCTTCAGGAAAAACATGCAGGATATATTCATCTAATTAGCAGAATTTTTCAAATGCACACAAAATAGATAATTCCTTTAGATATTATATTAATGAAAGCATCTTCTAAAGCACATATAGTATCTTCTAACGTCTCATTCCTCACAAGGACTTTCCCCAAACAGAATTTGGTCTCACTTGTTTCATGCATCCATACCAAAACACCAATGGTATAAAACAGGCCACCTCTATAACTGTTCTATGAAATTTGAACCTGCGTAGTAAAGCAGAATGAATTTTCATTTTATTAAAGGCCATGTCTAATTCCCATATACATTGTAAATTATTCAGATTATAGTTCTAGTGAAACACTGTGCTGATAATATGAAGTTCTATCAGATTTTTGCTAATGTGCACAAGATCAAAATCTTGAACTGGAAGAAAAGTGACAGAACAATCCCCTAGACCTGATGTTTTGATTAATCACAAACTGTGAAATAATCAAATACCTAATGACATCAGTCTCCTTGGATGGACATACAGCAACAGGCACAACAACTGATGCTGATTCAACAACTGGCAGATACTGCTCTGGTATAAGTGCTACTGGAACTGCAAAACCTACAGAATATATGCACACACATATATATACACACACACATAGCATATAAATTTTATCAAAATGTTTTGATTTCATTTCCTCAGAAGAAAAATTTTTAAGAAATGATAGAGGAAATGCATGCCAGATGCGGAGAAGAATTTTCTTATTGAATGGGTAAAAGATGCTAAAGTTCAAGAGAAAATGAATTAGAAATTTTTGCCTCAATTACACGAAAAAAAAACTAGCACTCTTCTTTTAGAAGGTAAATTTTAGAAATTTACTATCTGCTTGTCTTAAATTATCAGTAAAACAGCTGATGGAAATATATATATATTTTTTATTTTATAGGTCCTTATTATTTTTTATAAGATCTTGAATAACCAGGCCAGATGAAAAAAACTAAACTTTTATTTCAGTTGAGGTATTTGCAGTTCTTATAGTTGAAGAAAAACAGCTAAAGACATCTCAAGGAGAACACATAAGGAAGCTGAAATTTTCCTAATGAAGCATGCAAATCACAAAATCACCCACAGCAAAGACTAAAATCACTATTATACATTCAAAAGCAGATTACTCAACAACAAATTAAGTCTTAATTTTTAATTCACACAGCTGTTCCTCACCTATTTATATTACTATAAAAAAATGGGGAAGACATTATCAACATTACTGGAGCTTTTGATCCCAGGGTCGCAAGAGTATGCTTTCTGGAAGCTTTCAGAATGTTTTCAAATCGGAAAGAAATTGTCAAAAGCTGCTAAGGTCAGTAAGCATCTTTTAACTATTATCTCTGTTACCCATTGAACTATCTGCACAACTGTAATGCCATTTCATTCAGAAATACAAATTCTACGAAATAAGAAATTAACACAAATAAAATAACTAGCCAAAAATTAAAGCTTATGCAAAATATGTGATAAAAATTACTATAAAATAAATACACAAACAAGCTAGAGCAAATATACAATGCATAGCTACATACACACACAAAACATTTACAATATAGATTACACTAGCTTATAGTTGCATGAAATGACTTTGAGAAAATGTTCAAGCGTTTCATTATCCTTGAGGAAACGAATGACATTGCTGAAAACTAAAATAACTTCTCTGTTCTAAACTCACTACTCTAAAACATGACTGTAATATGAAGTCTTCATAGCGCTGCTGTAATGCGTGCAGTTAAACTTCACAGACTACCTGTGATTGCAGTTTCAACTTAAAAAAGAACTTAATCTTCAACGAATTCATGGTTAAATCTTCAACCAATTCATTGTTAGTAATTGTAAATTACCTATTTTACTTGTCCAACTAACTATAGAACATGGGTCTGACATGACTGTCCACGGTCATTATTCTTTCAAAATTTTGCACGGTATTCTGAAAAAGAGTTTAGTACCTATTCCTCCTGACCAAGTGCTAGTATTAAAATGCATTATCCCACCAACCAACTTGGCACTAGTAACTTCAACTGCTCCAGACTCGCTCATGAGTTCGCACTGATCGCGCACTGATCAAAATGGTATATAAGGATTTACATTCAATAAGTATCGTAGAAAATGAGGAATTCCGAGAATAATGAAAGGCTTTGAATTCAACCTATTCCTTACCTTCTAAATCCTTGCTTCCTGCTGCTTATGAAGGGAAAAAAAAAAAAAAAAAAGAATAGTTTAAAAAACGTTCTTACTGCTGTACAAAATATCTGGTTGACTGTAGACTGTTGGAGCAACCAAGAGGCTGAAAGTTACATGGCTGTGACAGGCCATTTTATTGACGAACACATGCAAAGGAAAGCAGTACTGATTGACTGCTCAATTTTTGATGAACGTCATTCAGCCAAAAATATTGCAGAAAATATCATACACATTTGCCAACCATTTTTTTTCGATGGAAAAAGTGTCTTTAATAGTGACTGCCAATGCCAAAAATATGATTAACGCTGTCGACAGCGAACTAAAGTTAAAAAATTTAGGATGCATTGCACACTCTCTCAATTTGGCTGTCACAAATTCTCTAAACGAGGTTAACGACCTTCTAACGAAAATTAGGGATATTGTGATAGTTTACAGGAGAAGTAATATCGCTGCACTACGTTATAGATCATATTTCAGACTTTATTTTTAAATTTAAACTATATGTTTTAATGACATCTGTAAATATAACAATAATAATGATTCATGCACTTATTTTGTATGAAATAAGAGAAAAGTTTACAGCAAAAAACATAATTAATACACAATAGCAATAAAATTACAATTTCTGCCACTACCCTATTCTCAAAACATACTCTGAATGCCTTTCTTTTTTGGAAAGAAAGGAATGTAAGTAAATAATAATAATAATAATAATAATAATAATAAAAAATCACATGAAAGTTGCTTTCACCCCAATTAAGGAAAATACCTTCAAATTTTGGTAATTTAAAAATAACTTCAAAATTCAATCTGCTGATTTTAAACATTTTTATTTTAATCAAAATATGTGTCACACCTCTTGTTACCCCCTCCCCCCGCCTTGTCACAAACTGTCACAATTTCACTAACCCCCCCTCCAAGCGCGACATCATTTATGGACGACTCCTTTCACAAAATTGATAGACCACCCATCGATTTTGCTGCACCTGCACACAAGACACAACTGAAAGCGAAAATGTTTCCATCCATCCACTTCCCGCGCCAATCCTCCCAACCCACACTTGGCCATGAAAGACAATCTACACAAACCCAACACCAGAAACAACCCGCCGCGCTCTCCTGCTCCTCAGACACTTCCGTAGTTGATATGTTTTCTGATACAGTAAGACCCCGCTTAACGCTGTTTCGTTTAGCGCTCTTTTTTTTCAACCCGTGGATTCCACGAAATCGCTCGCAGCATACAGGGATTCCCCGAAATATTATGCAGCGATAGGTTTCAAATACATATCCGAAAGAGTGTACTTGTATTTCTTGTTTGGTGCGGTATTGTACAGACATATTTTGAAGGGGTAAATTGTGGAAGATGTCGAAGAATAATTCAAGAAGCAGCGGCTAGTCTTTCTAATGATGAGCTTAAGGAATTAACTGAACAAGAAGAAAACAAAAATGTTGACAGCAGTGATTCAGAAGAAGAGCAAAAAGAACTTTTGATGGTGTTTGTAAAAAGGAGTTGTCTACCATAACTGAAATAGTGGATCAATTCATTGAAAATGATCCGAATTTTGACAGGAGCTCAAAAGTAAGGCGTGGTGTTAGAGATGCTCTATCCATTTATGAAGAACTTTTAAGAGAACAACGCAAAAGAAAAAGGCAAACAACATTAGATGCTTTTGTCACAAAAAGGCAGAACACTGAAAACGTGGAAGGCTAACTAAATATGACTGACTGAGAATTTTATTTGTTTTTTTTTAAGAATATTCGTTTGTTTATTATATTTTTGTTTTTATTTTTGCAAGAAATAATAATGTGGTATTAATTTGGGCTTTAAGAAATAAATGTTTGGTTTTATTTTTATTAAAAAAACATACTTTTTAAATTTAATACCTAACCAATTTCCTAGCCATCTTCCCCTAACCCCAATATTTACATGTAAAGATAGCCTCGTTTAGCGCTGTTTCGCATTACGCTCTACTTTGATGGAACGTATCCCCCGCGTTAAGCGGGGTCTTACTGTATTCAAAATCTTACTCCGTACAGACAAAATCAAACACGTGGTGACGTGGCAGAGTTCCTTCAGTGCGCAAAATCGTTAGCTGCGTATTTCGGTACTCCAAATCGTTACTACGGTACTCCAAATCGTTACTAAGGTACTCCGGTACAGCAAACCGTTACTAGGGTACTCCGGTACAGCAAACCGTTACTCCGGTATTTCGTTACTTCGGTACTCCAAATCATTGCTTGGGTACTCGGTACTTGAAATCGGTTTTCGGTACTTTTCAAAGTAACGGTTACTTGAGTAACGGGTATTTTGTACCGGGTACTTGTCTGTACCTGTTATTGAAAGTACCGAAGTTGCCCATCACTACCTACAACTTAAATGCACAAGGAGGATGTATGAAAGCAACAGAGAAATAGTTAAGAGCAAGTGAATTAAGCTTACTTAAAATCTTTTTAAAAATAAACAATTTTAAATATTTAAACTTATATGATTAATTTGCATTGCAATCTAATTGCATACTAATACCCCATGCTTACATTAAAACTGTGTTTCCACACAAATTATTTTACAGTTAATATTAGAAAAATATTTCTTTTCTAATATTTCTTCCTTTCTCTTATTTTCTCTTTCTATAAAAACTATTTCTTTAAGTAAAAGAAATAAATTTCATCCGTTCATTACAGTATGACCAATTGCTGCTGCATTCAGCTATCACACAGGCATCAAAATATCTTATTTTAAATAATTTATCCTATAATTAACATAACAGAAAATATTTTTTCAATATAAAATATATAACCAAAATTATAAACACCTATTCTGTATGTGTGATTAATTTGTATTGGAATTTTTGTCGTACACATATTAGTAATACTTTTTTTAATATTACTTTACTGTTATTTTAAATTTTATTATATATATATATAAGAACTGCTTGTTTTACATATTCTTCCACCTCAAAAGATTTTATTCTGTGTAAGTAATTAAAAGATAGTACTATTATTTTCACAGAAGTACTAATCAATGTAGACAATAATCAATGTAGGCCTCCTACAGCTGAAGAAGTTCCTTCTCAAAACAGTATTTTAACATTTTGACACATTAAATAGAAAACTGTAATAATAATCAATTTACTATATAAAATTGAGAACTCTTTTTTTTTTCCCTTTCTTTCTTTTTTAAGTTGGCAAAGAAACAATTATTTTTTTAATACTAATAGATCACAAAAGTACTATTTCATGAAGAAATTACAGAATTGTTACATTATAACATAATACAACAATAATGCAGTGTCACCCTGCTAATACATTTTAGTACCTAACAATAAGTTATACAGTTATAAACTGTGTATAAAAACATTCAGTAGCCAGATTTGATTTCAAAAAAC